TCCCTCTCTTTCACAGTGCTTAGCCTGTGCTTAGGAAGGGAGCAGCAGACACCGGGGACTCAACTCTCGCAAGGTGAGAAAACTCCTGAGTCTGGTGGGACTCGAACCCACAACCTTTGAATTGCCTCAAACCCATGTCTAGAAGTCCAATGCGCTATCCATTGCGCCACAGAGCCCATAGGGCACTGTTAAAATGGCGAGGGAATCATCATTTTGATGCAACATGCCTGAAAGCATTTACTACAAACACCAGGCACCACCAGGATTTGAACCCACATTCTCCTATTCATTGGGCACGCACTTCAACCAACTAAGCCACGGTGCCACAGCTTCCAGAGGGTCATAGCTTGCAGAGCGCTACAGCTTGCAGAGTGCTGGGCGTCCTCGTGCTGCATTGCTCCGTATTGCTCTTTGACAGGCTTTTGAGCAAACAGTACAAGTAACAGTCGCCGCTCGGAGTCAGACCCAGGTTTTTCTATTGACTTGAGCAGCATTAAATCCAACAAAAGCCTAACTTGAGCAACTCTCCCACAAACGGTTAACAAAATGGACAGACGCAGTGGATTCTGTAATCTAACCATAAGACTCACATAAAGCATCAGAAAAAAGAGGTAAAGCCACAGAGCAAGAAAAACAATCATTTGTCCAAAACCTAAGTGGGCTATTTATTTATATGCGACATTCCTGACAATCTTGGAGAGACCTAATAGCCACCGTTGGAATGCACATCCAGGACCTGCGGTGTACTAGGCAGCCGCTTAGACCGACTAAGACAGTCGCTTTAATAGTGGAAAAGGTGTCAAAAACTGGACTCTGGCAGACGACAGCAACGTAAGGACCGCCCTTTCGCAAAAAAGCTGATTTCTCCGTGAAGGCCCTACTGATTACCTTGTGAGTTGGATCAGGTGAGTGCAATGACAGAATGCAACACTTCACATACTGGGGTCCTCCAGGACTGCTGGCTAAAAGTCCTGAACCAAACAAACACTGAGTAGTTCCTAGATCTGCACGCTTTTCTAAAATTGGAAGCCGTGGGATGAATGGTCCCAAAACAGCTTCAAGCCATTGATGTACATCAGATGCGTCGGATTCTTCAACTTTATACAGTAGGGACTCTTGCGAACTCATACACCCATCTTTTGATGCACAACTGGGGAATGAAATTTTGGAACAGCAGCCAAGTGTGTGAGTGCCTGAACGCGGAGGAAACAAAGCATTCCAGCATAGAGGGTGAGAATGGCCTCATGCACAAACCTGTGCTTCCCTCTCTTTCACAGTGCTTAGCCTGTGCTTAGGAAGGGAGCAGCAGACACCGGGGACTCAACTCTCGCAAGGTGAGAAAACTCCTGAGTCTGGTGGGACTCGAACCCACAACCTTTGAATTGCCTCAAACCCATGTCTAGAAGTCCAATGCGCTATCCATTGCGCCACAGAGCCCATAGGGCACTGTTAAAATGGCGAGGGAATCATCATTTTGATGCAACATGCCTGAAAGCATTTACTACAAACACCAGGCACCACCAGGATTTGAACCCACATTCTCCTATTCATTGGGCACGCACTTCAACCAACTAAGCCACGGTGCCACAGCTCCCAGAGGGTCATAGCTTGCAGAGCGCTACAGCTTGCAGAGTGCTGGGCGTCCTCGTGCTGCATTGCTCCGTATTGCTCTTTGACAGGCTTTTGAGCAAACAGTACAAGTAACAGTCGCCGCTCGGAGTCAGACCCAGGTTTTTCTATTGACTTGAGCAGCATTAAATCCAACAAAAGCCTAACTTGAGTAACTCTCCCACAAACGATTCACCAACGGACAGACGCAGTGTTTCCTCTCCTCCTCTGGTAGACGACAGCAACGTAAGGACCACCCTTTCTGCACTCTTTTCTAAAATTGAAAGATGTGGGATCAATTGTCCCAACACAGCTTCAAACCATTGATGTACATCAGATGTGTCGCATTCTTCAACTTCATACAGTAATGACTTTTGCAAAGTTGTACACTCATCTTTTGATGTATAACTGGGGAATGTTTTTATGGAAACACGGCAAAGTTTGAGTGTCTTTAAGTAAATTATTTTCCTTTAGTTTGAAACACTTTTTACATATTTCTAAACCTCTATTTCCATAAAAGCTGTTTGCTCAGATGTATCCTAACATTCACATTTCTTCAGAGAAAGCATAATACAGCATGCAAACAATCTGAAAATCAACTCTCCAAGTTCTCGTGTTAACAACACAACACAGGTGATTACCTGAACAATTGCATGCCACAGTTTTAAGAACACAATGTGTGTTATCGTGTATTAAAGCAGTATGTTAACTACTATGCCATGTAAAGCCTCCTATTCTCAAATCTCTCTTGTTTTGGCCTGTACATACATATGAATTTCAATGATAACCCCAGAAAACATTTGGAAAGAATATCTTTAATTATCTTACAGTAATATACTGAACTTGTACACAATACAGAAAAAATGAATGAAATAGCAGGAATTTGGGTAATTAAACAGTTACCATAAACCAATTACCAGGTGTTGAAAAAAACACAAACCTAACTGGTGTGTATACTACACCATTGGGTGTTACCCAATCTGCAGCGACGTGTATACAAACTCTGCTGTATTCAAAGGCAGTGCACACAATGGATTCTAATAAAGTCTTCCACAAATGCGGCCAGTGGTGTATACAATAATTGAAGACGAAGATGTATTTTGAAATTTTAAACATTTAAACCCATTTCATCAGGATCAGAAAATTATTTGAAAAGAACACCAAGAATGGCCTTCACAGCTGGCATGGCTGCAATGCTGGCCTTACACAACACAACAAAAAGTATTGCAAGCTTTATATTTAATTCATTGCAATTTTTGCACAATGTCTATGGAAACAGCTATTGTTGCACCATGTTAACATGATATATTAATTTAAACAAATAAAAAATAGTCTTCTGTATGTCTGCATATTGGTATCTAAAGATTAACAAATTGTGTAGTTATTTAGTTTTATTCCATATGAGTCATTCTACGAAATGGGTGCCATTTCCACTTTGCAATGTTCAAATTTTTCACCTACAGCAAACACCATTTCTTTTGTTTTTTAAATCCTCAACATGACAGAGGGTGGTTCACTGTGACGGGGTGGTAACTGATATGATGGGGTGGTTCACTGTGACGAGTTGGTAACTAATGTGACGGGGTGATTCACTGTGACAGGGTGTGTGAATGAGTGAATGAATGACAGCTATAGTGAGTGAGTGAATCAAACAGGGTTAAAAGAAAAGGAAGTGAATAGCCCACACCAGAAACTCTAATCTTGTAACACAAATATCCTTGAGCTTTCCTCCTGAAAGCACACATTTTGACCTATACATGGGTAAAAACTCCAACCTCTTTTCACTTTTTCAAACAGAAAACAGAACCACTCTGTCACATTTCTTAACACCTCATCAGAATAAAACATGTAACGGGGTGCTACATTTCATTCTTTTAATTTGAAATATAATTTCCTTCACATTTAATTGTGTAAACATTTTATTAAAAAAAACAATTCTCCTTATGTATTTTGTGTGACAGGGCAGTTAAGTTTAACCACATCTAACATGAAAAAGCAACAAATAAACAATGTAAAAGAATGTCAGAACTTGCCTGCCTTTGTTCCTGGCTGCTCCAAAAGCCCAAATGATTTTACTTACTCTTTGTGATGCCATTTAAAGCAACAGAACATCATTTATAGACAAAACAAGTTGGCTTGGCGGGATGGTACGACAAACTGAGGGATGCACACAAATCAGAACATTTTAAAAACCCAAAAGAAACCATTAAGTATTTCTCTTGGTTCCAAATGGCTTTGGGATGAGTTTTTGCTTTTTTAATGGGTTAATATCACAATGTAAAGGATCCCAATGGTTTAACAGGTGACCAGTGGCTGATTCTAAATTCATCTGATGGTTTCCTAATGGGATCTTAAGGTATTCTACAGGAAACTAGTAGTCTCTACTGGAAATCATTAAGCCATTAGAAAGCAAAACCATTAGGTGGGGGGCACAAATAATTCAGAAAATAATAAACTAAAATAAAAATAACATATTTGGCGATATTTTAGATGCAAATGTGATGTTGGTCAATACGGACATGCGAAAATGGCAATATACTAACAAAAAATGATTAAAAATAGTAATGTTACTCTTCAAGAAAAACATTTTCTCATATATCATGATAACAAGATTAGATAGATAGATAGATAGATAGATAGACAGACTGACAGATAGATAGATAGATAGATAGATAGATAGATAGACAGACTGACAGATAGATAGATAGATAGATAGATAGATAGATAGATAGATAGATAGATAGAACTTTATTGATCCGAAGGGAAATTGCAGTGTTTCAGTAGCAAGACATATAATTGCACATAAACTTACATACTATGCAGAAAAATAGAAAATAGAAATACATCTAGACATAAGTTAGAGCACAAGAGAAATAAAATAAAAGTATATCTGTCTGCATATTTACATGGCGTATGACACAGATTTGTTGCATTTACATGACAGCAGGCGCTGAGTGGTATGAGGTAAACTAAAATTCAAAGAACACCTGAATGAATAGTTTTAAGCTTTGGAAACACACTTTGGAACATTTCTGTGCCTCGTGCATCTCATCAAACGTTACAGACACAAATGTAATATGTTTCGTTGAATGACCCAGATGTTTATTTTAAAACATCCCGTTTTTCATATCAAACCCTGTATCATTTGAAACTTTTGGCGCACAATGCTGCCCAGAAAGACCCACCTTACACATTATTATTATTATTTTAAAAATAAATATGCCTTGGATTTTAATAGTCAGACCCTTTTTTATGCAAGAAAAGTGACTCAAAAACATATTTGTACACATTGCTCTCAGTTAAACGAGACGATTGATTCCCGGTCAGCGTGATGAAACTTCCCTCGCCAGAAACTCAACGCCTGATTGGCGCTTTTAGCCTGACGTCACGTTTCCGCTATTTCCTTTTTTGGAGAATCCAAAATGGCGGATTAATAATAAACGCACAGTCCTGTTTGTTTTCTAATGGGAGCGACTATGTAAGTGTGAGGAATTCAGCTGATTCTGTTGTACATGGCGGTGTCTCTTAGTTTTAGCTTGCAGTTCCGTGGCTCCTGTATTGCACGTATGAGCTGGGAGTCGGTTTGAGCTTGCAGCGCGCTGTGTGTTGATGTGGATCGCGTTAGCCAGTTAGCTCGGCGGCTACTTCATACAGCTGGATCCATCGGTAAACTGCTTAACTGAGGCCTGAACTGAGGGCTGCCCGGCTGGGGATGTCTTACACACCCCTCATCAGCTCTTATCTTAAATTACCTCTTTAAACTAAACGAGTCTGGAGCTGAATTCTCATTCGCCAGCTTTTACTTTTCCGTTCCACCTTAAATGGTGCTACAGTAGCTAACTAACCGCTGCACAATTTAAGGTGGAACGTAATGCTCGAATAGACGCTACACACAGTTCTTCAACGGTTCTTTAGTAAAGAGACTGATTTTATTAAGTAGTGTGAGTTCTGTGTAGAGCTATTTCATTCTTAAATTGATCTTTTCGTTGTAAAATTGTTCTTCAGAATGATGGAGAATGGGCTACTTCTGGTTCTATGTAGAACCTTTTCGAAAATGGATTTATTATATTGCACCAAAAAGGTTTTGCTACTGTTAAGATGTCAAGCTTGCATCCAACAGAAGAACCCATTTTGGTGTTATGTAGAGCCATTTTCAAAAAGGTTCTATATAGAAGCATATATAACACATTCTTCATCAACCTGAAGAACCATTTTCACCGTGCACAGACCCATTTAAGCATAAAATGGTTCTATATAGAGCTCATGGTTCTAAATGGAACCATTCCCCTTACTAAAGAACCCTTGACGAACCATCTCTGTAGGAATGTGGCTTTGTGAAATGCCTCTAAAGCCCCGAGAACTGAGTAAACCCAGCCTCAGAAGGGGCTGAAAGGTGATATTTTAGAGTCATGGTTATCCGCCAAATTTGGGCAGTTCAAGTTATTTGCCTGTTTTACTGGGATTTGCTTTAAGTTGTTTAAGTTCTGATGTTGTTCTTGTGGCCTTTAATGCTAGAACCAATTTCAAGGTTACATGGAAGTTAGTACTAACCTGTCTGCTGAGCATAGTATGTGCTAGCTGGCCTTATGTGCTTGATCTTTGCCTGTATGGTTTTGTGCCCAAGGAATCATTATCACGATTGGTGTTTTTCCTCTCCTGTATGTGTAGCCAGAATAGCTCTAGGCATGTTCTTTTGCAGCACTGTTCAGTTATTTTCTTCCTCACCAGTCAAAGGTAGAACTAGAGGTGGGCGATATGGCAAAATGTAATATCACTATACTTCAGGACGTTTTTTTACGATACACAGTGTGTCGTAATATTTATTTTTCTGACATCTTTTAAATACTATCAAAAACTATGAATCCAATTACTTGTATTCAACATTTCACACGCTGTGCTGCACTCAATCCAGTTAAACAGCACTAATGATGCTCTCTTTTTAAACAAATATGCAGTTGGAATATGATTTGTAAGTGCTGATGATATGCACAATATGCTTAGAAAAACATATTGTGACACATTCTGATATTCTCATGTCTGAGTTTATCATAGTCTGTCAAAAGTTTAATCATTGCTTTGTATGCTGTGAATATGCCAACCTCCAGCGGTGCCACCATAGTGTCTGGAGTGGTACTTTCCGGTTTAAAGACTAGGAAACCCCCCTGCTGATGATTTAGCTTGAAAGTTGGAGGAAAAAACTACAAATTCTTTATGGATTTATTAGCCTGTACATCAGAGACTTGGTTAGCCAGTGGTTTTATGATGTGTTTCTGTTTAGATAGATAGATAGATAGATAGATAGATAGATAGATAGATAGATCCCTTTATTAATCCCAGAGGGAAATTCTTCTATTGCAGCAGTACAAAGCACAGTAAAGAGCATAACAAGAGCAGAATGAACAGGAACAAAGTATTGCCGTACAGATACATAAAAAGAAAGATAAATAATGGAATAAAATATACTAAAACAATAAACAATAAGAATAATGAGCAATACAGAAATACAAAGCAATTGCATGAATACTATGCAGGAGACAATGTGGTGGTGCCTGTTAAGCATGCTGGATATTGTAGTGAGAGAACACTAAAGGATAAAAACATAAAAGGATCATCAAACTGATGAGGCTGAGGGATGCTGTACAGAATACTACAGAGCATGACAAATAATATATGACATGGTAGTTTTAGATTAGAATGCCCTTTAAAAAAATACTATAAAAAGCTATTATTACAGTGATTTTTATTCCTTTCACATATCGTGCTTCACTAAATTAGATGAAGCATGACTATTTGTGCTCTTTTTTGTAATGAAACATGCAGTTGGTCAGTTTTAATTAAGTGCTGACAATATTCTCTATATGCTTAGAGTAACATTTTGTAATGTGCCACCATAATAAGGTATTGTCACATTGCCCACTTCTACCACTAAAATTTACATGTTAATGGGAAGGTAGGGTTGATATACCTGCCACGTGTCACCAAGAAACAGTCTGCTGATAATGATGTTTGCTGTCTTTTCACTTACAGTCAATATGGCAGACAAAAAAGGGAAGTCTACGGGAGTGAAGAGGGTACTTACGAAGAGAGAGCAAGAGGAGATCAAGAAAAAGGTGCTTTGTTCATGGATTATCTAGTGATCTGCATTACATAAAGTGCTCTGTTGTCGTAGGACCACTCCACAGATTATTCAGAATCAGAATCTTCTACTGGCAAGCAACAAGATATTCAAGGATTTTCTCTTGGTACAGCTGTCCGCATGGATTGTAATACGATTAATTATATATAAATGCACAACACACTACAGATCTACAAACAATAAATGTACATTTACATGGATCGGGCATAACTTTATGACCGCCTCCAGCACTGCTGTGTCTGATCCACTCAGACCAGCACAACACACACTAACACACCACCACCACTGCAGTGCTGAGAATGATCCACCACCCAAATAGTACCTGCTCTGTGAGGGTCCATGGGGGTCCTGATCACTGAAGAACAGGGTAAAAGGGGGCTAACAAAGTATGCAGAGAAACAGATGGACTACAGTCTGTAACTGTAGAACTACAAAATGGCACCTATATAGTAAGTGGAGCTGATAAAATGGACAATGAGCGTAGAAACACGGAGGTGGTCATAATGTTATGCCTGATCTGTGTATATAAATGTTGAAGATATTATAGTATAAGTTGTACAATTTGTTCAGTTAAAGATGTGAGCAGTGGATGTGATTATAGACAGGCTAAGCTTTGCTTCAGTATGTATTTCATTTGACTTCAGGCAACGACTGCAGCAGCACTAACAGTGATAAAAAGTGGCAATTATTATCTTTTTTTTTGAAACTGCAATGATGACTAAAGTTGTCATGTGGTTAAGTATTATATTAATTTCTAGCTTTTCCTCCTATAACTTTTTTGCCTGTTGCAGGAAGAAGAAAAGGCCGCTGAAGTCTTTGAGGAGTTCTTGGCGTCTTTCGATGGCAGTGAGAAGAGCAGCGTAAAGACTTTTGTACGAGGGGGGATTGTAAACGCCACTAAAGGTGAAATACCTTGGAAAATATCTTCCTGTTACAAAAAAAGTCATTAATCTTTGGACTAATCTGTGCTGCTTTTATACGTGCTTGAAAGATGTGCCTATCACAGTGCTTGATAAACGTTTGGCTGTGCCTTACAGAGGAAGAGGCAGCGGAGGTGAAGAAGAGTAAACTTTACAGACCTGCTTCTAAATTCACTCCCGTACCTCAGAATGTGTCACCAGTGCAGCCTGCAGAGTCTAAGAAAACTGTGAGTAATCATTGCTGATGGTCTCTCTTGTACTGGCTGATATATAGTAGCTACAGATCGTGTGCTGGGTTTTGTATTGTACATATAATTATGTGGTACATATTTTAATATCAAGTTCTTACAATCCACAAGACCGAAGTTTAGGATTTTCCATGCTTCAGTACTTGAAGCTTGCTGTACCCACGTAGATGTTTTTCTCTCACAGGTGGTTAAAAAGAAAACAGAAGAGAAGAAGAAGAGTAACCTGGAATTATTCAAAGAGGAGCTTAAACAGTAGGTGTCTGTCCTTCATATTGGACAGTAACTATAACCTCAAATCATGTTAAGTTGTAAGAGCAAATAGACTTGCTTTTTTCTGACATTGGATGACATGCTGTTATCTTTTTAAGAAAAGAAGAAAAGTTGCTCAGTTGTTCCTTTAATTTTGCCACTAGAAAAGTTACTTCCTGTGTGCGTCCCCTCTGGCAACAGCGACATTGATTTATAAAGTTCAGCGTGTAGAACCAGAGCTTTCTGTGTGCTACAGTGTTTGTCTTTTTGGATGCACTGTGTTGTATTCTGAGTGAGCGTGTGAGGTCACTTAGAACGCAGTTCAGATCTGATTTGTTTAAACAGAGTAAAAGTTGATGTATGACTAAATAAAACTTTTCTGAATTTTTGGCATTGCAAGATTGCATTCGTTATAGATCAAAATTAACAGTACACAGTAGGACTAAGAAAGCATGTGATTAAGAAAAGATTAACTCTGCAGTATGTAGCCTTTGGGGATCTGGCGACTTCTCTGGTGGATATAAATAAATATTTGTGCCAACATGCAGAAGAACATTTTGTTTTGTGGGTTGCGCTTCAGACCTCTTCCATGAATCTGATGCGAACATGAATTATCTTCTGTCATCATTTCTTCCTCAGTATGATGTTGATTTTTCATTTGAGATCTAAACATTGAGCTGGACCTTCTTTTTGAGCCTGTGCTTGTGACATGAATACGTAAAAATGAATGACATGGCCCACAAAACTCCTGCAAAGTCTGTTTCCAACGCCACTGACTTTTAAGTTACTGTTATACAAGAAGTTGCTTTACTTGGATCGTGGTATTCATGCCATAGTTTACCAGGGTTGTTTCACTTGACTCAGTAATGCTACTTCTTTCAGCTTTAACAAAAAAAAATCTTACATGACGCAGCTTTCAGCATCACAAGTAGCCACTTTTTTTGTGTCTGACGTAAGCGGTTGGTAGCTCAATGTGTTTTGAGGCAAGTGTGTAATGATTTAGGCATGCAGTCTGCACAGGGCTAATTAGTGGGGTATAAGGTTCCTGTTATTTGTTTTTCACTTGTTACTTGTTCAGTGTAAAACTAAAGAAATCTCTAACTTGCACACAGAATACAGGAAGAGAGAGAAGAGCGCTACAAAAGGAAGAAGAATGATCCAGGAGGGGTGTATCCAGATGTGGATCTACCGCTAACACGACGGTCAAGTGAGGCAGACACACACACAGATTTGCACAGAATCAAATAATGATGTTTTAACTTATTTTCACTTACAAAATTAATAAAAACATGTCATTTGACCAGGCATGCCCAAACTTTTTTTTTTTTGAATGTGGCTGTAGGTTTAGTGTTGTATGTGTTCAGAATACAGGGCATTCAAAAATAAAATGAAATACAAGAGCACACTTCTGCACAATTGACAGTTCCTATATATTTTCTAAATTTAACATATTGGCAACAAAACAAAATATCACCAGTGCAAAAGTTGGTAAATGACTTGGTAAATGAACTAATTTAATTTAATCTAAATAAGTATACTGAACGATACTTTGAATTGGAATGTTGTTTAGAGTTGGTAAAAAGTCGTTAAATTGCTTACCCCCACATGAAGTATTTTTAGGTTGAAATATTTTTTACATTGTGGAGTATGGTATAATATATTACGGCTGATTTAGATATAGATGGTATAGACGTGGTATAGCATATAGAGTTTTTTCCCATTTAGATTTGGTCACTGCTGCCTGACGTTGTAGGAGGTTTCCCGTGTCTTAGTGTCTTATGTGTGGTTTTTGTTTTTTTTCTTTTTCTTTTTTTTAATAAATGCAGTATTTGATGATGACCCAACAGTGCCAACCACTACTAACCTCTACATTGGCTGCATCAACCCCAAGGTACACTGCAGTATCATTACTCATGTGTTCTCCATACCGTTATCCATACTGAGTTAAAAAAAAACTTAGATGGAACTGTCTTTAAAATGATTAAATGTAAATTAAATGTTTTTTTTTAATGCAAGTTATGATATGGAATTGTTATGCTTCCAAGTGTTTTCTGCACACCTAAACTCTCCCCAACTGAGGCGATTTTTGTTTCTGTTTGATGGCTTTGTAGATGACGGAGGAGATGCTGTGCAAGGAGTTTGGAAAGTATGGCCCGCTGGCCAGTGTCAAGATCATGTGGCCTAGGACGGAAGAGGAGAGGACCAGAGTGACCAACCGCGGCTTTGTGGCCTTCATGACACGGAAAGACGCTGAAAGGGCATTGGCTGCTTTAGATGGTGTTAAGATGGTGTAATTTTTCAGTTTTGATGTGCAGTCATAATTTTATGTGTGTGTGTATATATATATATATATATATATATATATATATATATATATATTTAAGCATCTGACAGATATCAAGATTTGACTGTAATTTCAGAAAATATGGGGTACCATCGTTGATTCCGATACCTGTTGAAACTGTGGAACTTGCAAATAAAAACTCTTATTTACAAATGTATGTAAATCTACGGTTTATATTAAAACAGAGCTAAGAAGGAGAAGTAACTGTCTTTAAATTACAACATAATTTTGTTTTTAGTGGCTGTAACTCTGACTTCTAACAATGCGTGCACTCCATTTAGTAGAGTACCTGATCGTTCCTATTAATGACAAATTTGATCACTCAAACAAATTTCCATCTCCGAAAGTCCGGATGAGCTTTTCAAGTTTGAAGAGTCATAGATGTCCATTCTCACTATTCTGTTTATTGCTCACTGCAGGAAAAACAGTGATGGGTTTTGAGATGAAGTTGGGCTGGGGGAAAGCTGTACGGATTCCGCCCCAGCCCCTCTACACCCCCATAGGGGTGCTGAAGACCACGGCCCCACCTCCCCCATCCGGGCTGCCCTTCAATGCTCAGCCGCGGGACCGCTTCCGCAACGACTTCACCAAACCTCGCAGCCGCTCGCAAGAAGATTTTTACAAGGTAAACTCTCATTCTCCTATCAGCCCATGGCATGGCACAGAGGGTTTGCGCTTGTGTTGTGCTTAGTGTTGAAGTTATTTTGAAAAGGTTAAGCTTGGTGAGTTTCTAAAAGTAGATAATGATTTTTTTTCTTGTTGGTTTTATTTATTTTGGAAAAGAATATGTTCGCACTCTATTTTGATGGTCCTCTATAACTCAAACTGTTAAATTAACCAGTGAAGCCCAGTTGGTTGTCAGTGAAAAGTTAAGGTGAAGTTAGTTAGTTAGTTAGTTAGTTAATTAATTTAGGGTCGCTTTCATGGACATGGATTAAGCCTAATCCTGGACTACACAGCCTTCTGAATGGAGATTCTTCACTGATAGGAAACTGTAGTCCAGGACTAGGCTTAATCCCTTTCTGGGAAACCAACACTTAGGGTTATGAATTTAATAGATATTGGCTTAAATGTAGGTTAAAGATAATTACGGTTTAGACTGTGATTAGAGTTAGAGCAGTAAAATAGATATTGAGTTTAATGTAAATTAAAGCCATTTACATTAAGGACCAGGTTAAAGAAAATGGTTTAAGTGTAGTGTTGGACTAAACTGTAACTGGTGTGTCATCATTAAAAATTGGTCTAGTCTTGGGTTTAATTTGGGTTTGGAGAAACTGGCCCTTATTTTTAGGAAAAGGTTGAATGAGCATTTACAAAGCATCTACAGTGAACCATCAAAATAAAGTGTTAACCAAGTTTCACTGTGGAATTTTGACAAATGAGAGAAAACACATAGGTGGGTGGAGGGGATGCAGTTTTAAGAGAAAACAGGCTGTTTTAAAGGAATGCTTCATCCAAACATACTAACATCTGAAAACGAATTCGGGCCAGTTTAGTACTGGTCAAATTAGAACTGTGCTAACTGGTCTCCTTATGCTTTTATTCATTGTTAGCTGTAGTACCTCTTTTGGGGTTTAGTACTCATTTAATCCTAAATAGCCTGATAGCAGATCAGATTTCCTTTTATTCTGAGCACTAGTGGCTTAGCCTTTGATAAGTGGTACTAATTATACTTCACATACATAATAATTGTAGCTTGAATGGTGAAGTGCATAGTTGAGATTAGAACGGGTTCTGCTTGGTGAGGATGTTTTGCAGTGTTGTGTGACTGTGCTACGGTTTTTATCAACATAAACTCACGTTATATTGTTTGTATCTTCATCACGTGGTTTGACGTCACGAACAGACTCTGTACGACGCCGTAGTGACAGTGGTTATCCCATCAGAAAGGTACACACTCTTTATCCATTTAATATCACAGTATGACTGAGAAAACTACATATACACACACAGTAGGCATAGTTGGCACTGATAACAGCAGTGTATACGCTCTATCGGTTTGATTAGTGCAATGGTTGTCCGTGAGTGTCGGAAAAGATACATGCAGTGGTAGCTTAATACTGCAGTACAGCTGAAAAAACGGTACATGTATACAGGGCATGTACAAAAAGAAGGGGTACATCACATGGAATACTCATTCACTGGCTTCTTTATCAGAAATAAGTACCTTATAGGTGCCCTTTTTAGGTTTGCTGTTACTGACTGCAGCCCGTCTGTTGGGACTATAGCCCATCTGTTGGGCCCATCTGTTGTCAGCCCTCCGTACCCCATAATCAATGGTAAAGGACCATCATAGGACCACCACTGACCAGATATTACTTTGATGCTGCACCGTTCTCAGCACAGCAGTGACACCAGCATGGTAGTGATTTTATTAGTTTTTATATAGATTTTTAGGAAGATTTTCAAATTTGATTGACCAAATTCTTATAACTGCAGAAGATATATTTATAAATAATGTTTGGTTTTTTTGTTTTTGCATCTTATTTCACAATTTGTATGCTATAGTTTTTGCAAAATATATGTTTTGCAATTTTATCTCATTACCAGAACACAGTGGCAGCTATTAATTTTTGCTGCATAATATTTTGCTGTTTTGTTTCATGTCTTCACAGTTTGCTAGGGAAACATTAAACTAAATATATACATATACACATGTGTACACACACACACACACATACACACACACACATATATACATATATATATATATATATATATATATATATATATATATATATATATTTTATTTGCGTGATACTTGTGATGCTCAAATATTTACAGACATTTATGGTGTTCCGTTTTTAATGTCCCACATTAAAAAAATACATTAAAATACACACCATTTCTGTCTCACTTACATACTGTAAACATTGTCTCTCACCTGTTAGTAGTTCTGTAAATTATTCTGTCATTTATGGGAAGAAACAGGTGGAGGCAAAGGCTTAGTCTTGCAGCTCCTTACTTACCTAATGGATGCATTTCCACTTACCATGTCCACTAATTGTATGCGGATGCACATACCACTACTGTGTTGGTATCACTGATGTGCTGACAGTGATCCACCACCCCAATAATACCTGGTCAGCGAGGTCCTATGGTGGTCCCGTTCCATTGGTGAATGATGAACCCATTGTGCAGCAACAGATCGAATACAGTCAGTAATTGTAAACCTATGAAGTCCCCTATTTTAGGGATACCAGATGAAATAGTCAGTGAGTTTGAGTATTTAATGTGTTGTTTCCATAATTTTGTACATTCCTTATACATAATTAGAGAAGACAGTGACAAGCTTATTAGAAAAGTCTACTATAAGTCTGATGTAATAGAACAGTTACCGACAATCCCACATTCACCTCCGTCTGCCTCACAGAAGCTCCCCAAATGGCTTAAAATCACAGCAAATACAAGTGAGAGAAGCCAGCATGTTCATTTACCCATAAGAAAATTTGCTAGAGTCTCCAGAAATTGTGTATTGTACGCCAGCACCATCTGCTGGACAAAGCATACATGTAATATCTTTAAGAAATAATTAACCCCTTGAACTATATGCTCAGATGCAACACATCATGAGAAGAAGCGTGACAGATTAGCATTTTAAACTACAGGATTATTATTAAGTTATGAATTGTATGATTTAATATTCAGTAATTATTATGAATTAGTACCGTCTATGAAATATGTAAATTATTTAGTTATGGGAGTGAAGAACTGAAGTGCGAGACCACATACAGACCCCTTAGGGCTTAAGGGGTTAATGTATAGGACACTCAAGTCCCTTGGAGAGCTGCCCTCCTGCAGTGTTTAGTTCCAGCCCTGATCCAACACACCTGATCCAGCTAATCAGGTTTATCTGAAGCATCTGAAAATGAGAGCTTTCTCTTTGGAACTGAACTCTACAGGAGTGTAGATCTCCAGGGGAAAAAAGTCTTAGGTAGCTTTGTTTAGGGTGAGACAGAACTGACATGTCCAAAGATGAAGAAGAGGGGGAGGGAGGGGTGTACACTCGTTCATGCTCTCATCCCTTTGTCTCTTTGGGTGCGTAGGAACCTGCTGTGCCTCATCCACAGGATGATTGAGTTTGTGGTGAGAGAGGGACCCATGTTCGAGGCCATAATCATGAGCCGAGAGCAGAGCAACCCAGACTTCAGGTGTGTCTGTGTGGACTTCTTATTTATGCATCGTCTTATTTATTTAATGAAGAAATCATTCTGCAACCATCCCCTCCAAAAACACTCCATACTTAGTCAGTTCACCAGGACATGTTCATTGTTCACTCAAATACCATGAATTACCATGACTGTGCTAAAATAAGCTACAATAAAGTTCAATAAAAAATAAAATAAAAAATAATTTTTGCTTTACACCAGAAGTAGCTGATCAGCCAAGACATGCTTGGTGCCTGAAGATTACTTCTTTGGAGTTACGAGGCTAATTTAGGCTAACAAGTAGTGGAATATTATGTACATCAATTAGCCTTGTTCAAACTCCAAGTGTTCTTTTGCTTACATGGTTTCTGACACTGTATGCCGTACTGTTCTCTGTAAAATAGACAACTGTGTCTTGAACCAATACTTGTTTTTTTATAGATACACTACCATTCAAAAGTTAGGAATCACTTGTTATATTAATAATTTATTACTATATATTCAAAAATAACTTAGTGTACATTTATTGTAGATGTTAATCCCATGAACTAGACAATGAAAGGTATTTTTAAATTTTTTTATGATAAGTTTTATTTAATATTTTAAGGATTTTAAGCTGTTATACACTGTAAATAGAGGTGGGAAATTTGAGGACATTTAACATCATTCTGATAAATTAGATCATGATATGTTTGTGAAGTGATCAAGTATATTGTGAAGTGCTGACCAACTGCGTGTTTCATTACAACGAGTGCATGACCAAAATTGTAAATTTGGTTGCTCGTCAAATCACTGTTAAAACTTTTTACATTTAATAGCAGTTGTTTACTCTGTGCTACGTGCCAAATTATTTTTGTGTATCATCTGTACAGCTTGGATGCATATCAATGAACGTTGAGTACTACATTAGTCACATAGTGATGAGGTTGAATGATTTGGTCAAATATCTGAGTGTGATTTTTCTGACCAGCACTACGATTTCAAAAGTGCATTCTTTCCAATTGTGATTTCGATATAACAATTAATCATTCAGGCCTAATAGTGAGACTTTGTGCTGTTGATTTTTCAGGTTTCTGTTTGATAATAAGAGTCAGGAACATGTTTACTACAGATGGAAGCTCTACTCCATACTGCAGGTATGTGTTTTCTCCTTCACTTTGGTTGTTGTTTACTCAAACACCAACAAATGTGAATTCCTCAGTTTGATGATGATGATTTCTTGCATGTTTTGCTTCTGTATTTGCACTGTGTACACATGCTATGTAGTATGTGTAATTGTGTCTGTTTACAATGCAACAGCCACATTTCCTATCAGGGGATCAAAAAAGTGAACCTATCACTCTGATCATTTGATCTACACTTCATATCCAAACGTTTGTGGACACCTGCTCATCCAAAGTTGTGTTTTTCTGAAATCCAGAGTATTAATAGGCAGTTTGCACCCCATTTACTGCAGTAACAGCCTCTACTCTTCTGAGGAGGCTTTACACCAGAGAACTCAGTTCCACTGCTTCACAGCCCAGTGTTGAGGGGCTTTATTACCATAGTATTGGTCAGTGCTTTATGGAGAATCGTGTGTGCATGGGATGAGCTTGATTTTGTCTCTTGATTAAAATGGAACCATACACTCTGTCTCTGTCTCTCTATCTCCCTCCCTCTCTCTCTCCCCCTCTCCTCTCAGGGAGACAGTCCGAGCGAATGGAAGACGTCGCATTTCCGAATGTTTCGGGGTGGTTCTCTGTGGAGGCCCCCTGTCCTCAAACCATATCTCCATGGAGACGAGGAGTCGGAGGATGGCTCCTCCCCCTCTCAGGAGGAGGAGCTAAAGAAAGGGCAGCTAAAGGCCGAGTATGTTCTAGACTTTTAGACTGAGTGTATGTCACTGTCTGTCTGCCTGATTCAAGGTGAGATGATGGCTGGACACCTTGTTAAAATGATATTTCAGAATTTAAAAAAGCTAAAAAAAAGAGTAGCAGCCGTCATGTTGAAGCCAGAATGTTGTCTATGGGCAAAACTTGGTCATGCAGTGTCAGAAATCATATAAGCAAGACTATCCGAGATGCAGTTTAAGGTGAGTGTATGATGGTTTAGGAATGCACTTTTCACGGTGTTCTTTGGTGGGTTATAAGCTTACAATTCGACTGCTACAGAAAAATAAAAGCATTAGATAATAATTGAGCTTGTAACACTCCTGAGTTTAAGCTCCTCAGAAATCTTTTGCAAAAATAGTTACAAAGACATTAAAAGTGCATAAGAAGTAAGAAATGCAAGTGCGATTCATTTCCAGCACCCTGAGTGTGGAAGAGCACCAAAAGTTACTGCTTTCACATGTTGAATAGCAGCCATAACTGAACAAAAATCTTACTTCGAAGTTACATCAACTTCTAATCTGTTATTCAGTCCTTGGGATACTCAAGCTAGCCAAAAACCTCCGGAGTCAATAATGCTTAGAAAAACCTTTAGATGTTGCACAGTACATACAGTACAAAACTAAAGAAGGGATCATTAGACATCAAATATGTCTTAGCTGATCATCTACATTTGGGGTAACTGGGAGACTAAATTCATATTTTGCTGAGCTATTTATTCGTGGGATGTAAAGATGTGTGAGGTTGAGGTTGTTGAGAGACTCTCATAGAGTTCTGTGTGTATTTCAGACACAGAGAGCAGTTGGAGGTGTTGTTGCGGGGTTTAACACCCCGTCGAGTGGAGATTGGAGACGCCATGATGTTCTGTCTGGAGAAGGCTGAAGCTGCAGAGGAGGTGGTCTCCTGCATCGCGGAGTCACTCTCTATACTACACACCCCACTACAGAAGAAGGTACTCATCCAAACACACACATACAGTCCTAATCTCTACTGTATACACAAACTATACATACATAGATTCCTCTCTATACTATACACGCACAATCACCCAGTCCAATCGAGGACATAAAGAGCATTATGGCGTACGACTAGAGTGTTATTTATTGTGTTATGCAGTATTTTGTGGCACAGCATAACATCCCTCATCCTTACCTGTTTGACAGAATTCAAGCTGTTTTAAAAGTTTATCAGTGTTCTGGTACTACAATACCCACCATACATTATGCATTGGGAATCCCTGTGGTGTCAACTAGCCCTCACTAGGGATCACCCATCTTGAATTTTTATGGCCAATTCCAATTTGTTGACAGCCAAACTGTCTGAAGACCATTGTTTATCTTGAAGCTCACACTGTGTGGGTTAAGTGAACACATGAAACATAGTAGCCTAAGTTGCAATATAAATAACATTATTTACTTTTTAATGTGCTAACTGTCATTTTAGACAGTCATTTTAAATTCTTAGACAAAAAAATCAGCTGCCTGTTTTAAATAACATCAACTTAAATGCTACGTCATAACTTGGGGTCTGAAACCAGTGGGAGGTGGGTAGCGAGGGATTGGGTGGGGTTGGGTCGGTATTTTGTATCCTAATATATACAGATTTCTAAAACTCAGAACAGTTCTAAAGTATTAGTTGTTTCTGTAATGATTTGGTCTGTTGACTTTTATTCAATTAATCATTTATTAGAACTATTATGCTTTTTTGCCGCTTCACCTCCCTTTTTCCATTACAGTTCAGTCTGTGTGAAAAGTGATTTCCTCTGTTACTTTTTTCCTTCTACACTTCCTGTAGGGTATTGTAATCTGTTGTGATGAGCATATGTGTGTATTTGTTTTTAAGTAATCAACACATTGACTGTTTTTGCATAATTGTTATCATTAATTGATTGCACTTCTTTTGTTGGGCAGGTTGCAAGGCTGTATTTGGTTTCAGACATCTTGTACAACTCCTGTGCCAAAGTCGCTAATGCATCCTACTACCGGAAATAGTAAGAAATTTATGTCTCTCTCTCTCTCTCTCTCTCTCTCTCTCTAACTGTATTTGCCATTATATTGTAATTTGCTGTAAATGGAAAAAAAACAAAATAGAAGCTGTTTGCACATACGATGGTTAACAGTGTTGGTCTGTGTGTGGCAGCTTTGAGCCAAGGCTGCCTCAGATTTTCACTGACGTTGGGGAGGCATATAGAAACATCCAGGCCAGACTGCAGGCTGAGCAGTTCAAGGTGAGTGCAGCCTTATGTAGTTTTATGTAATTTTTCTCTTATTGCTGAATGAAGTTATGACTTGGCCCTCTGTTCACATTGTTTCTTGTCCTTTGTTATTCTTTCTCTTTCTCTCTGTAGCAAAAGATCATGACTTGCTTCCGAGCATGGGAGGACTGGGCCATTTACCCAGAATCCTTTTTGATCCAGCTGCAGAACATCTTCCTTGGCCTCATCAAACCAGGAGAGGAAGTCATTGAAAGGACAGAGGTGACCTTAGAACTTCTGACACATTAGTCGTTACTCCTTATGCACTACATTTACTCTTTTCATTTGCTTAGCCTGAAAATGTTTTTAGATGTGAGCCGTATGCTATTAAATGGAGTGTACATACACATAAATTAAGTAAAATAATTTTGCATATATATATGTATATGTATATGTGTGTATGTGTGTGTGTGTGTGTGTGTGTGTGTGTGTGTGTGTGTGTGTGTGGTTTAAGATGTGAGCAGCCAGGAAAGACATAAGTAGCCAAGAAAATACTTACTATCTGTCTTGAAAGCAACACTGTATAACTTTAGTAATTTCTCCAGTATAAAGTAATGAGACTTTGCTTTTTTTCTATGAAGTTATTGATATATTGGTTGAAAGAATAAAGAATAAACAGATTTGGTTCCTCGCTGCATTCCAACCACTGTATGGATTTATTAAATTCCACCAGCAGCTCACCTGATGTAATTTAATGAAGGATCGAATAGATAAACTACATATTTGGATGGTAACTGTAAACACTGAACTTCCTTGAGGATATATATCTCTTTTTCATCTACTGCAGACTGCTTCTCCAGACCTGGACGGTGCTCCGTTAGATGGAGCTCCTCTGGATGGGGCGGAGATTGACGGCACGCCTCTGGACGACCTGGACGGATCCCCCATGCCCTGGGACCCTTCCTCCATTGATGGGGTTCCCGTGGATGACATAGATGGGGTCCCCCTCGGACCCCCAATGGATGACATTGACGGTGTGCCCTGTGAGTGAAGATGGAAGAAATGTTCTTTTTGCTTTGTTGCTTTTTAGGTTGACTTTAGTGTGAAATTTACCAGACCTATGCTCTGCTTATTAAAACATAGGTGTTCTATATGAGGTCGCTGTTTCTTCAGTCTAAAACCTTTAGTCTAAAAAGATTGTGTGTGTGTGTCTTTGTGCAAAACGCAGTGGATGAAGGCATGGATAAGATGGTGCCCAGTGTTGCCTTGTCTAAATGGGAGAGAGTGGACGATGTTGAGCCTTCAGGTACAGTCAGAGAACTTGCCACTACCTTGACCGTATTAGCCTTTAATGTAGCCAAAATGTACTACTTACACAGGGCCAGATTCCTTGACATGGATTGAGCCTAGACTTTGACTAAATTGCAGTGTCCAATCAATGATGATAAATATTTTTTTGGTCTAGGCTTAGGCTTAATCTGGATGTGAGAAACTAGCCCATAGAGTACATATCACTCTCTCAAAGTGCTGGGATGGTGAAGAATACATAACATTCGGCTGTATACTTCTGATTTTTATTACCATGCTTGTCTTTTACTCTTTGAACTTCTTAAGTGTGGATGAGGGAAAAGGGGTATCATTGTTCCAGCACTTTTCAAGGGCAAAGTATTTTGGATGTAATGAAAACAAAAAAATTTGGTCTTTTTTGGTTACAGAAATACATGTCCTAATTGCATTCTTACTATGCTATTATTAGCACTCATTTTTAATCTGACCCTTCTGATGTTCTCTTTTTTGACCCTGTAGCTAAATCAGACTCTGAAGATGAGAGGAGTGTTGGGTAAGTTCATCTGAGAGGTAACAGATTGTTTTCTTTTATTGTAAACTGAGCTTTTATTGTTTTTCATGAAGACCAGTTACAGAAGCAGAATTAACAGGGCTGACTAAATACCACATATAAAGGAACAGACAGTGGGGCACAATATTGGTTAGCTTAAGAAAATATATGTCCTATGAAAACAGGTTCTGCCTCTGAAATAACCTTCTCACAAAAAGAAGTTTTCCCAAGTTTCCACAAGTTTCTAATTTTCTGCTGGATTATCCATTTGACAAGATGTCTGTTCTGTGATATGCATTTTGCCGTATCCTGGATACTGTGATAAACCCAAACACAGTGAACCACAAACAGCTCCGCCCCCAAAACAAACTAAACATGAGCTTCAACAGCTTAAATACTTTTTCGCTTCTTAACAAATAGTGTAAACATTTGTAACTCAACAACTATTTACTTTTTTGTTACAAATTATTGCTTTGCAACTAAGAACAGGCTTCATTCTTAACTGTTGTTATATGTTGTGGTATTATGTCATTGTTGTGTGGTTCGTGAAAATTGTGATATAAATTGGGCATGGCTCCCTCTTTCTTTCCTTCAGTGATGTGAAGGATAACGAGATGGACTCTGATGATGTCAGCAGCAGCGATGACGCGGCCAGTCCCAGCAGGTACGAGGGGGCGGAGTTTAAGAGCAGCCTGAGAAACTTCGAGATGTCTGAGAGCAAGAGAACTCGACTCCGAGAGCTGGAGGTGAGAGAGAGAGAACACATAAGCTCCTTAAAGCGATAGTTCGACGAAAGAGTGAGAGATTGTTATCGAAATTCTGTCTCTATCGATATCGAGATATTATTGAAATTGCAAACCGCGAAGAGCTACAATTTTAAATATAGTCTACATTAACAACAGTGTTGTCATAAGCTTTGATTGGGGAAACTTGACCTAATAACACTTGTGAACTACTTGTGGACGAGTTGGACCAATCAGATGCAACCAAAATGCCATGTGCTGTGTACATGAGGGCACAACCACAACTAACTGCCCCTCAGGCACACTCCACTCAATGTTCAACATTCAATCCACAAACCAGAAAAAGTCTATATGCTGGTCTTCTTGGCCAAAATAACAGGCCTGGACCGTAATTAGAAACCAACTAGAAAACAATCTAACCAATCAATTTAAATCACAGTCACATCATTGGTCAGAAAAATTGCAAGTAGATATTTTTCCCAAATCCTTCAGCTGTAGTTCAGCTTAAAATCAAATGCACACAGTTTACCCTCTACTACCCCATATACAGTTGATCAGCCAGGACATATTGGGTGTCTAAAGTTTGCTTCTTTAGTTTTGCACTGGAGCTATGAGGCTTATGTTGCTAACAAGTAATGGAAGCTTATATCCCAGCAATCAGCATTGTGCAAACCAAGGCTGCCTGTCCACACACTTCTATACTTTACCTAGTACACTAATAAATACACTTCTAATGGTGGTTCTCTATTTTTACATAATGTTTAGCGCTGTAATATCTGGTTTGGACACAGCCGAAATGTCTAAATCAGGGCTGTCCAACCTTGTCTGCAAGCTTTCATTTTAAACAAGCAGGAGCTCACCTGATTTCACTTGTGTAATCAGTTGATCTCAGTGTATATTATGCCAGACATAGCTCATTTTTGTGTGTGTGTGTTTGTGTTTGGCAGGTGAAGGTGATGAAGTTTCAGGATGAGCTGGAGTCTGGGAAGAGACAGAGGAAGTCCAGCATGAGCCTCCAACAACAGGTTCAGCACTACAGAAACAAACTATTACAGAAGGTACACATGCAGTTCCCATTTAGCACATTAAATGGAGAAGCATGTTGAATGTTAACCTTCAGATTTTGTTCATTCACTATTCATGTGACATACAGTGCTGTGCAAAAGTTTTAGGCACCAAAGAAAATTAGAATGAAAAAGCTGTTTATCTGTTAAGTAATTGTTTATTTGTTCATAAAAAACACAAATATTACAATAAATAATTAAAATACAGTAAGTAGTGATACCATGGGTGTGATAATGGGTCTGACACCTGGTTTGGCTAATCCGTGCTTCATCATGTTAAATCAAATTGTGCTGCTGATGGAGTCTAACCATGTGATGGCTGGGAGCATCAGGAGAAATCAGCAAACAAACTTTGTTCTTCAAACTAGCTCATAAAAACATTGCCTCTGTATTTGTGTTTATTCCACATATACATAGATTTAAAGATATGATATTTTCACTGACAAAATATATTTATTTATTTTATGCAATGTTCTTAAGCGCCTAAGACTTTTAGACAGTGCTGGATATGACTAAAACAGGAAATTCAGGCAGGAAATTTTTAAGTTTTTCATTCCAAAATGCAGTTTTTGGAAAGAATAAGAGCTGATGTTAATGGAAAATACATTTTATTTCTGTAATAAAGGTGGTATTAATTATAATATACCACTGATTCTTGAAAGTGGTCTATTGCATTTTGGGGGAAAAAAGCCTCCAACTGTTGCCGTGGCATGATTTTATCCATTGGAATTTTATCGGATTGTGTAAAGTGAGTGTTTTAAAATGAACATGGAGTCTTATCAGGATGCTAGTCTATAGTCAGTCAAGGAGGACTACTCTCCTGCACCTCTGGCACCGTCATTGGGAGGGGGATGAAACCCTGGTAGTACAGGAGTTACAGAAGGATGTGTAAGGAAGACATGATGTTAGTGGTAATATAATTTGTCCTCATCCAGAAATGTCAGCAGGCAGCTAGAGGTGGGCAAAAGTCACTACACTTCAAAGATGACAAAGAAACAAGAAATTTTTGTTTTAAAATGTATATGATGAATCATACCTAATATGACTAGACACATGAACCAACAAAGTGAAAAGGGTAAGGCTAAATCCTTAAAGTTAATATTTTTAGATGCTTTTTCCCTCCAAAACTGTCTGAAGTTAGCTTCTTTTATGCCCCAACTACAAGACTAATGTAGTTAACGATTAATAGTAGCTTAAGTACACCAGTTAGCACTGAGCAAACTGCATATCTAAATCATCACACACTTGCCCCAAAGAAAAAAAATCTGGGTTCATTTAACTGTTACTATATTTTTTCGCTGTGTGACGTACTGTCCATTTCATATATAACAGTGTGCCTTTTTTTATTCTCGGTTTTATGAGACTAGAATACATTTGATATGTTTAATTTGTAAAAAATCGGTTTTGTTTCTACAGGAGTTTGATAAAGACGAAGAAGAAAAGAAAGACAAGTCAATGAGTAAGCAGAAGGACAAACCGAAGAAAGAAGAGCGGAGAGACAGAGGGGAAGACAAAAGCAAAGGGCGAGAGAGGGAGAAGGAGAGAGAACGGGAGAAGGAGAAAGAGAGAGAAAAAGAGAGGGACAGAGAAAGGAGCAAGAAGAGTGAGGACCGGGAGAGGAGCAGGGGGAGGAGCCGAGACAAAGAGGAGAAGAGGGACCGGTATGCACATAAATACATATGCTTAAGTTTGGGTGCCCCAGTCAAATTCCATGTTTTGTTGAATTTAGATTTTTTTTTTTATTCTTTTATTTATTTATTTTTTTTTTGCAAAAATAAGTTAACACATCCTCTACAGACATATTTATCGCTGTTGTCAGAAGAAAACCTCGAATCTCCATTTTTTTTTTAACGTTTTTCAGTTTTTGACAATTTTGAAAATACCTGTTACCTTTAACATTGTGTGTAAATTTCATGATTAATGGACTAAAAGCATATTTTCTGTTAATTTAACGGGAACTTTTATAAAAATATATATAAATATAATAAAAATTTCCATTTATTTAATGCAGTTACTGAATAATTTGCCTTATGATTTCGTCATGTAAATTCAGATGGAAAAACCAAAATATACCCTGGAGAACTAGCATATTCGACTGCCTAACTTGTTAAATGAACGTTAGCAAGATGATCACCAAGTTCACTTTCCTGCTCCAAGGTACTGAAATGTGGATGGGTAAAACTGGGGATTATAGGTTTTTTGTCAGGACTGTAAACTGAATTTAAGCCACCTTTTATATTTCTTCTGTCGGTCCCTCCACACTGTAATGAAAGGACTCGTTCAGTTTTCAGGTGCCTCTGTTTCTGGAGATGCAGTGGTGATGCTAAAACGTCTTTTCTTTCTCCCTGTTTGTGTGTTTGTCCAGGACAAGGTCTCGGTCACCGCGGAAGTCGAAGCGTTCCCGCTCTCCGTCGCCTCAGCGCAAGTCCTGGAGGTCTTCATCTCGATCGCCCCACCGCTCGCACAAGAAGGCCAAGAAGAGCAAACACTGAACCCTGACCTTTTGACCTCTGTGACCTTTTCTTCTGATTTTGAAGCAGCTCTGTGAACAGCGCCACCTACGGATTGCTGCCGTTCTCACACATGCTTCTGTCCCACAATGCTTCAGGGGCTGGACTCGGGCCAACGACTGCTGTCTGTTTATTTCCCAGAATCCTCCTACTCTCTGTGGCTGCTCCAATTACACAAGCAAGGGCTCGGCCCGGATTTTTTTGTAAAATGAAGTTTAAGCGTTTATTTGTACAGTTCTTAATTTTGTTTTTAAAAACGCCCTCTTTGGAAAGATCTGTTGCAGGATTGGCCCCCACAATCTTTACAATAAACAGCTCTTGGCAGTAACTGTGGTGGAGAGTGTAAGAGTTTTTACCATCAGGAAAATGCTAATGTAGAGAAACGTAACCAGTATATCGCTGTTGTTGGAAGAAAACCTCGTATCTCCAAAATGGTAACTTTACAGGAGAAGGAAAAAACCTACTTTACTTTTAATGTAAGTCAATGGAACCAGACATTTTTCCAGGTCATTTTGAGTCATTTCTTTTAGTCCATTCATCATGAAATTTACACACAATGTAAAAGGCAACAGGTATTTTCAAACTGTCAAAAACTCAAAAATGTCAAAAATGGAGATATGACGTTTTCTTCCGACAACAGCGATACACTCTTAATTCATTTTAAAGTGTGAAGTGAATCAGCCTGAGTGTTGTAGAGCAGTGGGGGAAGAGTGTTACTCAGTTAGCCAGATATCTTAAGCCAAAAATCAAGCCTGTCCGACAGAAGCTGTTCACACTGGACAGTCCTTAATTTGCACGCAAGTTCTCCAGCTAAGTCAGCTTTATAAAGTAACTCCTAGGGATTTTAAAGTCCAGTCTCACTCTGAAATTCTGTTTCCTTCTCCAACTACCAGCTTCAACTTACCAGCTAATTATCACATTGAATGAGATAATCCACAGCAAGAACAATAAAGTTGGTAGGCCTTTAGATACATTCTCTAATCTGCAGTTATCCAGCTGTGCTCTAAATACCCTGCTGTGCAGCCTTTGGTTCCAGCTCTAACACTACTGGCCCTAATTTTAGATTCTCTCAAAGCGATGGTGGTGATGGGAACCAGGGGTTGCAATGTCTACAATGCAAATACCATTCTGTTTACTATCTAGAACCACCAGTTTTTATTTGTAATGTTGATGGTAAAAAATCGGTAAATCAGAAAAAATTGGTTTTCTTTGGGGACTATTTTGGCTTACGACACCCTGCATGTACCTTTCCACCATGAATGGATTTAACATCTGTGTTTTTAAACCAAAACCTTCTCAAAACTGTTGTAAAATAACATCTTGGACATCTGAGTTATTACATGAAATGGTTATGAATACTTTGTTAGGCAGCTTTTAGAGCAGGCATGTCAAACTGGGGACCCTCCAGGCCAAAGTGCTGTGGAGATTAACGTTCACCCTCATCTAACACTCTGAATTCAGTTCATGAAGGCCTTGCAAATTAGCTGATGAGCTGAATCAGGTGTGTTTAATGAGCAGTGAGCGGAAGTCTGTAGTGTTTTGGCCAGCAAGGACTGGAGCCTGACAAGTGATTTAGAGGCATTAACCTCTTCCTATCACTACCACTGTGAACAATTCTGACTTTTAAGTTTCTGTAGAAGAGTATTTCACATTAAACCACTCTGAAATACTTTGTTTAAACAACTGTGCAAAAATTTTGAAAAGAATCAGAGTTCCTCTTTTAAGGTTGGAACAAAACTCTACAAGGCAGCACATCTTTCAGAGCCAGTTTGGACTCTTCAGTTTTGATGTTTTTCCATTACAGTACATACATAAACACAATCACTGGACAAAGCCCAAGTCTTACATGGGAAAACCATTAAACTTTATTCTTGTTTAGTGAGATAATCAATTATTAAAAAAAAATCAAGAGGTTCAATTATTTTTACAAGTGTACAGTAACACTGATAGACACAACTGAGAAATGCAGAACCGAAATTGATCTGAAATGGATTTGTGCTAGAAGCAGAAATGTTTGACTTTATTGTAAAAGCGGGAGTGTTGGGTTATATTTCAAGCAAATATGGACTGATCAGGAACCTCAAGTGAAGAAGACGATGTAAAAGGCTTGGTGTGTGCAGAGATGGTAGCATCACTTTCGTTTGCTCTCAAACTTGTTTGCAGTGTTTCTCGTTCGTCAAAATGGTGCAGTTTTAAAAATTGGCCAGCTTATACAAAACACAAGGCTCAGCACAAATGCACAACAGAAACCATGCTAACAAACCACAAAAAGGAAAGCGTAATACTAAACGGAAATACAACAGGTAACTGCAATGCAACTGCACAAATTATAATACGACTGCAGCTGCGATTCAGTGTTCAGAGTAACACTTCAGTGAGTTGTTCAAACTCCACTAACTAGCTGTCACATAAAACAGAAGCAGCAGTACTGATCTTGATCTTGGTCTCTGGTTGGAGAGATGCTGATTATCCAGATATAGCAGGACATTTGTCAAATTCTTTTGAACATTTGGTTGCGGCAGTAATAAAACCTGTCTCAGACATGGTTTACAGGGAAAACGAGCTTTTACTACAAGTTAATGTAGTAAGATTTTAATCCAAGTTCATGGACCATCGCTAGTGGTCCATTCATTGAAATGATCAGACTATGTAAAGGACAGCTGGTGTTATGAAATGTTTATCTACATCTTTGCTGCCCAAAACAAAACATGTACATCCAAAATATTAACTTTACAGGAGAAAACAAAAATATTCTAAAGTTTTAAAGTGAGTTAATGTAAAGAGATTTTATTTCGAGTGATTCTGGAGCATTTCTATTGGTCCATTCGTCATGAAAATTCAGACAGCTGCTGAGCTCAAATGATGTTTGGACAGCAATGATATGTATAATGATATGTATAAAACAATAAATAAGTTAGAAGATTTTGATATGACACTGATGATTTGCATACCAGCAACATTAACCTGACCCCTTTTGTGACTTTAATTAGATCACATATTTCATTTAATATCATATAATGTTATTAACAAATAAGGAAAGGAAGGAAACTCTATAGGAAATGTTTCTAGAATCATTCTGATCAACTATGATCATGTATTATTTCCATTTCCAGACACTGCCTCCATCAGTACTGCAGTACTGTATGATGTGCCTTGTTGGTGGAAATGAACCATGATTTACAGTTGTGGTTTCTTTTTTGTGCTCGAATGTTTTACGATGTTAGCATTATTTCTGTTTTGCGCTGTGCTGTACATGAACTGACCACCACACAATGACAGCTGAGAAGCCCCATTCACACTCGTACAGTAATTGAATTATGCTTAACCAAACCGACCTAATCGATAAGTTACAGTTCAGAGCCGCTCCATTAATTAAACAGAAAGAAAGGAAAGAGCAGATGAAGAAAAGTGCGTCGCGTTGTGGAAATGTTCCTCCTTTTCCCTTTTTTACAGTCCTCCACCTTCCCATCAGCCTGAACTTCCTGGGTCCCTGTTCCCTGCAAAAGAGGACGCAAACTTCCTCTCCAGAGCACTCGCCAGCAGCTGATTGGTCATTGAAGGGGAGCTGTGGGTGGAGCCTACAGGCCTCCACTTTGAAACGTGGTGCTCATTATTGTCTCTGGTTCAGTTTGTTACAACAAACCGAGTAATTTACAGGCTTTTTTTTCCTTTTGCTGCTCAGTATTTTTTAACATTCACAAAGACTTTGATGGCGCCGGTGAAGTCAGCAGACAGGAGAACCTCAGTGTGGTCTGTTTTTAAAGCTCCTGAAAGAGAGAGAAAAAGAAAAAGAAAGAGAGAGAGAGAAAGAGAGAGAGAGAGAGAGAGAGAGAGAGAGAGAGAGAGAGAGAGAGAGAGAGAGTGAGAGAGAGAGAGAGACTTTAATGTAGTTGGAATGATCATTACTGGGGGTGTAAAACTGCATTGCTGTATTCAGCTGCATTGATACTGGAATATCAAAATGGATCATAATCAGTTCTAATTGTATTCCAGGGATGCAAACAGGTAAGGGGTAAAAAAGAACATTGTGTTGTGGAGTACGTCTGTGTTGTTGGTCACAAAATCCAACGGGAGCTGACATTTTCATACTTCTCTACCACGTCACCTTAGAAAAACTGCGGGTTACACAGTTGGCTAGCCAGCTTAGGCTAACTACCTACCTAGACAGCTGTATTTCACTCACGTTTTTGTTATTTGCTGACAGCAGAACACAAGTTTACCTGATTTTTTTTTGACCAGATAGTTCATCCTCTCATCTTTGACATAATTGGGAGGCAGAACTCTTGTGTAATTTGCGGGCCCTATGCAACGCGTGTAGTGAGTGTATCGGGCCGACCAGCTCTGTTTGCTATCAATAATCGTTTTGGTCTGCTAGAGTTAGTAGAATAAGCGCAGTTGACATCACGTTCAGCAGACTCCTCATCTTTTTCGTCTCCTCAGGAGAATAAAGAAATACATATAGACGCCTTTCCCACTGGCGTTCCGTGAAGACTCACACACACTAACAGCAGGCCATGTAGGAGGAGAACAGAGTGAAGGACACAGCACCTCCACACTTTTATTCCCCTGCTTCACAGAAAAAGCCCAAAGAATCTGAGGTTGAAATAATAATAAACCGCATCATTTTTCTTCTGGTAAACATTGAAAACGGGTCCCACAGACCTGAACACCACACAAGGGTTAAATTGTAGAACGAGCATCACCATGAACACTCTCTCTACCACTTAAGATGATAAGATGCTTTTGCAAAACTGGGCCCAGACAAGACAAAATTTGGAAATGTGTAATATGGACCCAGCAACCTCTGTGGCATTGATGGTTATGATGCCACTGCCAGATTGCCATGGTTACGCTACCTGATGGGATGGTCTCCGAGTCATCTGTGTTGTCACTCTTACACTCGGCGTCGGGTTTCTCCTGCCCCGCCTCCTGAGGCACAATCAAACCGGGGTGTGGTGCAAAGATGGCAGACGTCACCACTGCATTATGGGCTGTGAAACACAATTATGTGTTTATGTGTGATCAGCACCAACCAATGACCTTATGAGCTAAAGATTATTCATCAAACTCTCCATGAAGCCTTTCAGAGGCTGTGTATGCAATTTAACCAGGGATGCCCAAACTTTTGCATACGCCTGTATAATGTTAGTTGTATGACATTCAACTATTTAGCACAGTCTGCTGTTTAGCGTAGTTTTAACCTTAAAAGAATATTAATTCATGCAAAACTCCCAACATAACTAGTCCTGAACGAAAGCTGTTGGGAATATTCAAGTGCATTATACAAACTGGTCAACGACTTCTGTTCATTAGCAATGATGTGTAAATGACTGTCTTAATTTTACCTTTAAGTCCTTCCCAGAAGTCATTGCGGTCCCTCCGTACAGAGCTGAACTTGCTGAGGTCGTGATAAGTGCTCCAGATGTACACGTACTTGTCCTCTGAGCCGCTCACAATGAATGAGTAGTCGTGACTGGAGGGGAAATTATATTGCTACTTTAGTGAGAAGAAATAATAAGAGGTCTAATGAGAGTTCAAGCCCCAGCTCAATAACTAGAAACTGAACTGAGAGGCCATTTACAATAAACATAATACTGAGGAGGTGACAGTAACCTGCTTGTACCCAAATCACAGCCTGTGGATTACGTTACTAGGGCTGTTACAATTAGTCTATTATAAGAAATCACTTATTAAAATGTAGCTTCTCAAAAATGAACACTGATTAGTTCACAGTTTAGGTGGTGACAATGTATATTTTAAATTCCCATTTACTGCCTTCACTTGTTTTACTACAGTGTTTTTATATGTGTATTTTAACAGTCTTTAAATGCTTTACACTGTAGAATCTTTCAAAGGATTTGCATGGTTTGTTTTTGTTCAGTTAAACCAATTTTATTGATTTGCCTGTTTAAAGAAATGCTCTGTAGATTATTCAATCAATCAATCACACAGAATTAATTGTGGCAACCCTAAATAGTACTAGTCTTATATCCTCTTAGCACATAGTAGTTACAAATTCCAGGCATGAAGATCCCTTTTTTGGTATTTTCCATAATGTTACACATCTGATTCAACTCAAAGGCTCATTATCACATTCTTTATGAGCTGGGTTTTGCGTGATAAAGTCACGAAAAGTGCAAGGCACTGCTTTTTTACATGTGCTTTTCTTGTGTGCTGTTACTTTAAGAGCGTCTCTCCTTACCTGAAGCTTGCTTTGATCTGACTGCTGCTGTTGACGTAGCCTTTGTACTTCATAGACAGAGACAGGTCCCTCAGGTCGTACAGGCGAATCCGCGAGTCGTTTGACGTCACCAGGATCTGCCAAGTAAAGAATACTCTTTCTTAAAGATGTTTGTTCCTTTCAAAGAAACAGGGCCCAGTGAAACGAACACGCTACCCACTACAAAAACACTCCAAAGAAAAGAATGCACCTGCTTAAACTTCAGCTTAAAAATCAGTTTCTCCAAATGTAGTCAATCAGCCAAGTCATGTTTGGTGCTTCATTAGTTTTGGACTGGAGCTCTGAGGCTAATGTAGCTTGTATGCCACTAATTATCATCATGCATAACTGTTTTCCGTTACCTGTTAGCTTCATTAATAAACTTTAAACAGCAAACATATCTGATCAACTACATTTGGGACAAAGAGGGAACAAACCTTTAATAAAAGTGTATTTCAGCACAGAATCTAAATTCATGGTATTTAATTTAATAATAGGCATGTGTGCATTAAGCATAATTAGGTGGGTAGTACCTTATTCTCTCCAGGAAGAGGCTCGATGCCAGTGATTTTGCGGCCCACGCGATTCCTCCCTCTGGTGGAGCGGACGTGGATCTGTGTGTGGTACTTGAGGCGCTGAACAGAGTAAAGAAATAAGCAAACAATGATAAAAACATTTGTATAAATCTTTCAGACATGAATGTGTTCCAAAGCTTCATCTGCTTCAAAACACAGCATCCTACCTCCAAAACAAATATTTTTTATGAAAAGGAAAAACAAACTTGCGCTTCTCCACTGTTCCAGCCTAACTAATTACTGCAAAACCTGAGGGTATTTGAAGATCATTTTTCTTTTACTTCTCACAGCTATGCAGTGCCTAGAAGGCACAAATTATATATGCAGTACGGTGCAAAAGTCAGAGACCACCCTTCATTTAATTCATTAATTCATTTAATTTTTTCAGATCTGAAGCAAGAGTGGAGCATGATTATCTCCTCTCACACAAAGATGAAAGCTGTAAGTGCTGATTTTCTGATGGTGACAGCGTTGGTGGTCTACCAGGTTTCGCAGGTGGTTGTTAGGAGTCCCATTTTCTCTTTGGCTTTGATTAAATTTTTAACTGCATTTTTGAAAACTCCTGTTTTTCACTTATTTACTATTATTTATTATCTCCTCAGAAATATCTCTTCAAAAAGAATAGCATGTATTCACAAGGTTATTGTACTGCCATGTATATTGTCACTACTGAGCAAAACTTCATTTCTCCAATGTGGTAACTTTAGAGAGTAACAAACGTTCTGAATTTCTGACAGACGTTAATGTAAAAAGATCTTAATATGAAGTAATTCTGGAACATTTCTATTCGTCCATTTATCATGAAATCTTCACACAATGTAAAGGGCAGTTGGTGTTTTTAAATTATGTTAAAAAACAAAAACAGAAATTTTGTTCAGACAGCAACAATATATAAAAAGTAAAAACTGTAGATGATAACTGGGACAGCAGTATTTTGTTTGTGAGTCTGTATATCACTGTGATTGCAACTAATGATCGTTTCTCTAATCGATTAATCAACTAATCAAACCATTCTTCCATTTCCTTTACTCCATCACATCACCACCACCGTTCTGTATCTGTGACAAACGATTTTTTAATCTTTTACAGTGCAGTGAAACAACAGACACCATACTGCCTCCTACACTTCCTGTAGTGTACTGCAATCTATCTGGAGGACCGCATCTATCATGTTAACATTATGGAACATTATAGAGCGCGCACACACGCGCGCACGCGCACACACGCGCACACACACACACCTCTGTGTCATAGAAAATGCAGCGTCCGTCGTAGGTGCCGATGACGGCATATTTGCCGTTCTGACAGAAGTTGGCTGCAGTGATGAGGCGCGTCTGACCGTCCACTTCATTCCACAGAGCAACCTTCTTATCTGGAATATTCCACAAACGCAGCCGACCGTCCAGAGAACCGCTCAGAAAATACCGGTCATCCTTCAAGGAGAGAGAGAGAGAGAGAGAGAGAGTGTAAGACAGAGAGAGAGCGAGAGAGATTAACATCCCTTACACACCATTCATTTTTGACTGATTTTGGAAGGGTAGCATTTTTATGAAATCATTTCAAAGAAACTCAGGTCAGGGGGAAGTGTGAGAGTAAATGATACAGCAGGAAAGTGAGCAGCAAAACCAGCACTTGCACAAAGTTAGCTAGTTACTACATATGACTAGCACAGTTGCTGTGGCCAGAATTTACTTTCTCTTAGTTCAAAAGAACGCCTAGCTGTAGTTATACGAGTGAGTAGTAACAGGTGAGTACTCAGAAATAGTTCAAGAAGAAGCCGTGCTCTGGTACACTGATGTGTGCAAATCTATAGAGGAGTGCTTTGCGGTCATTAAGCTAGATTAACTTTACTGAAATACAGTCTGAAGAAATGAATTTATTTTAGAGAAGTGCATTTTGCTCATTTCAGTGGTTGCTATTCAAGTAGAAGACTTTATTAAAGTCTATTTCACAATGTGTTTAACCCCTTATGCCAGCGATTATGGTTTCTTCTGTCAGTTATTATCATAAACTGCATTATTTATTTGTGTTTTGGAGCTGGGTTCTCCCACATTCATTCACTCATTCGTTGCAGTCATGCAGAACACCACTCCCTCACCCTGGGATGAAAGGCGATTGCAGTAACAAAGTCTACATGCTGGAAACAGCAAAGGCACTCTCTCCTGGATATGTGCCACAACCGCACCGTCTTATCCATGGAGGAGGACAACAGGAAGTAGTTCTGCAAAGACAGGAAATCACATTACTACCATATGTCATTTATCTATTCTATTTTAATTTCCTATACGATTCCATAAAAAAGAAGCAGTTACTATATAAAAAAACTCTCACACACACAAATGATTCATTCATCATCTTCATATTTATGTTATTTATTTACGTGAGATGTCACCCTTAGTATTGGAAAGGAATCATAACTAGGGGTGCAAAAATGCAGCCTGATGTGTCCGTCTGAAGGCATCAATTTTGGAGTGCTATAATCAAAGTTTGTTAATAGGGATGCACCGATGTGTGAATTGTGGGCAGGTATTGTTCCATGTACATATCTGCTCATAATAATACATAAACATGCAGAACTTGGGACTAGATCCACTTTGATGAACATTAGGGAGAAATATAACACTTAGCCCCAATCCTATTTCACCCCTTGCCCCTACCATTTAACCCCTAGCCCTCCGTTTTGCTTGTTCACACCTAGGGGCAGGGTGTCCCGTTTTTTTGTTGAGATAGAGGGGTGGAGCACAGGGTTAGGGCTACATGGCCCTCCAAACGGAGGTTTTTCAGAGGCAGACTCCAAACAGACAGTTATAAGGAAAAAAGAAAAAACAGCAAGATGGCTGCGCAAGCGACCAAAGAAACCCACAAATGTGAGTATTTTTTCCATTAAAAATTACAATAACCATTATATTATCTTAGTTTAATGTCATTTCAATGTATTATGGTTCTTTTCTTTATAACAAGCATACCAATTGCTAATATTATGTTAATGTCTTGGTAGCTAGCCAGCTACATTTCCTGTTCCACCATAAATAGTCCACCCCTATTGACGCCTGAAGTGCCAGAATGTAACAGCTGCTCCATTTAAGTTGCAACGAGAAAATCCGAACAAGAAGCTGGAGAATAACTGACTTCAGCTTCGTATCACTGAAGAATTAGAAGTGAGTGATAATAAATAACTGCCCCCCCCCTTTGAAAGCAGATGATGCCCTAAATGTTACCAAAGCCCAGCAGTGAGGAGCTGAACTTTACCCTCCTCTGCTGTCACCACAGACTGGCAGGGTCGCCTACAGAGCAGCGCTAGTAGCTGTTAATGAAGTAATGTTTTTTTTATTTGAGGGTCCCATTTCATAGGGAAGATTTCAACCACTACCCCTTGTAACTCAGTTCCAAGGGGCAAAGAGACACTTGAAAACAAGGGGTAGGGATAAAAATAAGAAATGGGAGTGGGCCTTATTTGTAGAGTGTTACCAGTGCAGTAAAATGGATAAAATGCATTTTAGCACTCACAAAATTTGAGATTTCATGATGCACTGAATCATTTCCTAAAGTACATTTAAAAACAGAGGAGTAGGGCTCACCTTTGACCAGGAAAGGTCGAGAAGGTCGGCTGTGTGGCTTTTATACTTGCAGAAGGGAACCTGCCTGAAGGGCACGTTTCTGTCTTCAGTGTCGGCATCTTCCACTACCGCTCCCAACTGAGAGAGAAGCAGAAAGGAAAGACAAAAAAAGACATATAATTAAAAAAAAAAAAACATAACGAGTGATGAGACTTTAAAATCTTAACAGCAGATTAATTTATACAGATGAATGTATGATTTTAACCTTTCAATCGATCAACTCAGAGAAAATCTGAAGACTGCAGTGGGTGGTGTAACTAGAAGCAGTCGAAGTTCTAACTTGAGCCACTAGTGGGTGTAAGAGCTGAATTGTCAATGAATGATTCTAAACATTCCTACAAATAAATGACTGCTCCCTTGTTCCTACCTTATACAGCTCTTATAATACCGAGTGCATTTAAAGGGGAAGTCCATCAATTTTTCACAATTTCTGCATAATTCAAAGTCATTTACAATAGTCTGATGTGGTTCACAGTAGAGAAACTGACTTGGATCTCGTTACAGTGGTGGTGATAGGAACCAGGGATCGGAATGTATTTAACGTAAACATAGCCAATTTATTTACTATCCAAAACCACCAGTGAACCTACATGTGTCTTCTGAGTTTTTATATGTAATGTTGATAATAGTAAAATGGTGGTAAATCTAAAAAAATAAAGTTTCTTTGGTTTCGCCTTAGAACACTTTAGAGGTACCTCTCCGCCATTTAAAAAATACCTGTTATGCCAAAAGTCTCTCTCAAAACTATCGTAATACAGTGTCTCAGACAGGCAGCGTATTTATACCCATTTAATATAATAACTTTCTGTCAGGGAGCTTTTCGAGGTATTTAACTCTTCAGACGTCTGGTTCCTATCACCACCATTGCAAACAATTCTTATACAGAACAGAGCACTGAATTATGCATAGGTTTTGAAAAATCCAGTAGTGCCCAATTCACACTGTGGTGGTGATTCAATTGTATAGGAACTGGAGAGTTTCAACTGAATATAACGATTACAATAATATTCAGTACGTATGTGGTCAAAAAATTCATAGTGTATTTTCAAAAGTAAAAACAAAAGGAAAAAATCTTAGTGTCCTGTTTTATAGTCTAAATTTCACTACAGTGTATACAGTGCATGCATATTTGGTGTTATTATTAAAGATAATTCTGAACCCCACAAAAAAAATCAGCTTGAATAGCATTGTGGCAAAAACTGAAACTTCATGATGAACTTAATTATTTTCTACCAAACTGTAATTGTGAAGTCAGAGATTTATTTCACACAGATTGGTGCAGATCCACTGATATAAATTCACAATGTGCAGGAAAAACTATGTGATGCTGGATGTTTCTGAGATAAACTGGAGTCCAGCCTTACAGCAGTCAGAGAACTTACCCCTCCTTCAGTATCAGACTTGGAGGAACACAGACTCTCTTGAGAAGGAGACGGGGACACACGGCCTAAAGAAACAACACAACTGTCAGGCCTGACCAATACAGCAGTTTATCAGTATTAATCGTACACAAATGTTCACTATTAACAATCTGATGCCAGCATAAGTGTCATTTTTATTCAACACCAACAATCATAACTGTCTTGTTTATCTTGTAACAAACAAACAGTTCTAACAAGGGAAAAACTGCTCATTTGTAAAGATTTGTTAATGATTTTTGGAGGGGTGGGGGTGCAAATATGTGCATTTTTTAATTGTATCTTTTAAAAACTAATACATACATAGAATAAACTAATGACATTAATACTTACATACAATATCATTCAAAAGTTTGAAATCACTGTTTTAAATAACACCAAGCTAATTTGTTCCAGATAAGTGTATAAAATGATAATATGACGCTAATATTTTAAAACCATGTGCTGTTGGAAGCTGTTGTTATGACAAACAGCACTGTTGATTCCATAATAACCAATAAAGTTGTAAAGAATCGAGGATTAAATTATAACAAAATTAATATCCAGACTGTTTCACATTTGGAGAGTGGCGACCACATTTCACTGACTGAATAGCTGTTGACTGTTATTTTATGTTTTTTTGTTATTTTATGAAATTACTACAAATAGATACTGACAGTATACTGTTTAATAATATTTACCATTTTCTGTTCTGGTAGTGCAGGCAGCATCTACTTCACTATTAATATGTATCTTTGAAACACATTTCAAGGATTTGAGCATAGGCCTTTAGATCAAAATGACTAAGATTATGAAAAACATGTCCAAAGTTTTGACTGCACAGACTATTCTCACTGATAACAGCACACAGGTAAAGGTGAAACAATCAAATGACTTTGGCAACTACAGAAATGGACAACTGCAGCTGGTTTGCTGAAACTGCTCCGAAGGTTGATAATATCATTAACTTCAGCTGATCAATCAAATCTGGCTACTGGTCTATAGATTTTCACCCCCACACATACATATGCAGTGTAAATAGTGGGGGTCTTTGTGTGTGTACTTGCCCTCTGTGTTGTATTTGATCCTCATGTTGTTAAAGTAGTCGTAGGCGTTTTTCAGGACCCAAATGCGAACCACGTTATCCTGACCGGCTGTAGCCAGCAGCCGCCCGCAGTGAGAGAATTTCATCGTCCACACCGCACCCTGAACATAAAACACATTAATGGAACAGTTCAGTCAATAATCTAATTCACAGAGTTTCATCCTTAACCCAAATGTAATCAATCAGCCAAGACACGTTTGGTGTCTGAAGTTTGCTTCTTTAGTTTTGCACTAGAGCTTTGAGGCTAATGTAGTTAATTAGCATTGTGCAAACTGCATGCCTATTGCATTGAGTTGTTAAGTAATCTCAAATAGACTTGTTTATCTAGTTTCTGACACTGTGTGACATACTGCCTTTATGACTGGTCTGACTGGCTGACTTGTCCAGGCTGAAACACTACATATCATTTGAATATGAAAGGGCTGAGCTAAACTGTTGCAGGCTGCGTATGCGTATATGTAAATCATAAAACATTAATTCCAAATGGACTGTTTTTGCAACTTAATTATCATATTTGAACTACATGAACAATCGAGTGAATAGTATGTTCATCAAATTCTCTTTCATAATGAAAATTCAATTCCCTATCTGGGCCCTTTAACTATCCAACATTCATACCATTTTTGGTACACACACACACACACTGGGTTCTCCTGTGCTCACCATATGTTCTCCGCTGAGGTCCTGCACCATTCTGATTTGGTCAAAGTCGAACGGGCCTTTGAAGCTGTGGGCTGCTTTAAACTTCACAGGCCGTGTGTAGGGCATTCCCTCATCATCGCTGGAGGACGGCTCGTCCTGATCTGTGTGGAACACTTCGTCCCTCACGCTCCTCACTTTATTCACTGCACGCTCCCCGTACTCCTCCAACAGGTGCTTCCCTCGCTTCACTGACTTCCCCAGAAACTTCTTCAGCTGAGTGCTGAGAGAGGAGACAGACATACAAGGAAGGGCAGATAAGGGGAAGGAGGGGTGGGTGGAGAGATGGATGGATGGGTGTATAGGAGAAGAAAGGAGAAAGGGAGAGGGGAAGGAAAATGGAAGAAGTGATGAAAGGAGAGAGTGAATGGGTAAAGAGAGACAGAGAAAGGGAGAAGAAAAGAAAGAAAAAGGCACAAAGAAAGAGAGATGGTATGGGGAAAATGGAGAAGAGAAGAGAAGAGAAGAGAAGAGAAGAGAAGAGAAGAGAAGAGAGAAAGATAGGTGGAAGAATTGGAAGGGGTAGAGAGAATAAAAGAGAAGAAGAAAGAGAAAAGGAGATGAGAAGAGAAACAGAATGAAATAGAAAGATGAGGTGGAATAAATGAAGAAGAGAAGAGAAGAGAAGAGAAGAGAAGAGAAGAGAAGAAATTATTTGTGACACTGTAAATCAACATGAAACCCCAAATAAGAACATGTCTGTGTTAATATGGTCTCTCTTATGTTGTGTTTCAAATGTATTTGTGGGACAAACGCAATTCCAGGTTTAAAGCACTTAAAAGATGAAGTGCAGACTACAGGAAGTAGTTCTGTACAAAAAAAAAAATGTAGTGGTTTGAAATCAGTTCCGTTGTACTAAATGTCGTGATGTCACTGGTAGCCTCATGTGTCTCCCTTTGCAAAAATATATAAATTGAAGAAGAAAAAACCCAGATAACCTAAACCCTATTCAGCAGTAATTTACACCTCCATAAACAGCAGCGCAGGTTTCTTACGTTTTCTGTTTGAGTTTCCCTCCATCCGTGTCAGTCAGAGGAGCCTGACTCTTGTCATCGTCGTCTGACTGAGCAGCATCGTTCCTGTGGAGAAAGGAGACGAGTCTGAATACATTAAAAAGTCTCACCAGTATTCCTGACAGTATTTGATGCTATGATTAGCCAACCAGCTCCAATGACCCATTTAATAACTTTAATCATAAGAGGAAAAACAGCTCAACTAATCTTTGACCAGCAAAATCTAAATGTTGTATGAATAAAGAAAAGCATTACCAATAAACGCTAAGGCCGATAATACAGAACGAAAGCTAGTATAGGTCAACCGGCATTAAGTAAAGTGGGACAGTGCGAGCTGATAGCCACTAGCTCTCAGTCATTGTTAGCCACTTTTGGGAGAAGTATTCCTTTAAATCACTGCGGTATAAAATAAGAACTAGTGTCTAAGTGGAGTTTAAAAAGAGCTGTAACGGCAAGAAAGAGAAGATTAGCAGCATTTTCTCCCCACCGGAGGGAGATAGCCGTGTGTCTGAGTTTCGTTCTGCTGTAAAATGAGGACAGACTGGAGTGTGGAGAATAGGATTACTGATACATTTCACTCTGGAGAGCCCCAGGGCCCACCACCACATCTACAACACCACACAGGCCAGTCTCACAGAGAAACGATATCAAGAGCTCCAAAAAGAAATCTTACTTGGAGGACGTGTACTGCCCGTCAAAAATTTGGGGGCACTTAGCTTTCCAAAAAATGTTTTGAGAATGAGAATTTTTGTCAGTTTGCAATAACAGTCATGTACTGCTACTGTTTATTTGCTGAATTTAACATACTGAAAAAATATATAAAACTTGGCCTGTGCAAAAGTTACGGCACATTTTCCCCAATATGTCATACTCAGCAAAACAAAAAAGAAATTGTGCCAATTTTAATTGCTTTCACTAAGCAAATCAACAAAACATGTAATTTTACTGTGGGTGTTTAAACCTTTGCACATGACTATCATAACTGTCATATCTGAACACCTTGTAACTCCAATTTCTTGTTGTTTTATTACTTTAACACTGTAACACTGTATGGACATTTTATATGATGAATGGACCAATAGAAACTACCTAAAATTACTAGGAATAAAATGCAGCTACAAGAACGTGTACTTAATGCTTGACCATTTGAGAGATATGAAGTTTGCTTATGACAGTACTAACATTAAATAGTAACCCAAAAAAAATATTTGTGAAAAAGTTAACCAAGCCAAAATAAACAGAACCAAAAAAACAAAAGTAATAGTAACTAACTTAAATATGCAGAGGTTACAGCAGCTCAAGGAGTTTTTCTGATGAACATGCATCTTTTTTGTTTGTGTGCAAGCATGCTTTTTATTAAGTACTCCAAAAGTATTCTGAACACTTCTCATCCAGGTAATCAAAAGCTGTAAAATGCTGATTACCTGATCTAGTCCGGTTAAAAACTGGAGCAGAACAAATAAGTGTCCCTGAGGAAAGGCCTGGTAACCCTGCTGGAGTGAGTGATGCAGAATCAATGCTGTATTACAGGTCATGTGCACAGAAGAGTAACCATAATCAGTCAAAAGCGGACTGTTTTTGGATCTCCTTATTTATGTGTTCCGAGTGTGTTCAACCACCTCTCAGTCAGTGGCACAAAGTGCAAAAAAATCTTTATTGCTTATCCTTTAGATCTTTCATCAAAAACATTAACAAAAATCTAGCTTTTATTTAGTAGAGTGATAGAAAAAACTAAATCAGGAAAGAAATATTTTTCTCAAATCTGTGTGTGCCACAATTGTTGGTGTTCATTTATTACTTTGTATAGCCTCCCTCTACAATAACAACAGCTCTGAGTCTTCTCCTATAAGGCTTAATGAGACTGGAGGACACATGACAAGAGATCTGAGACCATTCCTCCCTACAGAACCTCCTCAGATCCTGCAAATTCAGAGGCCCACACTGTGGACTGTCCTCTTCAGCTCATTCCACAGGCTTTTTCTGTGTGTTTTAGGTCAGGAGATTGGGATGGCTGTGGCAAAACCTTAATTCTGTGGTCAGTGAAACATTTTTGTGGTGATTTTGAGGTGTGCTTTGGATCACTGTCCTGCTGGAAGGTTCAAGCCCTCCCTCCCCAGACAACCTGTGGTTAGCTAGGTGGTGTTTAATTGTAGTTTGGGAGATGTTCTGGCCCATACTTAAAAACCTAACTAATTTTCGCAATTCCCTATCTGTGATCCTTGGAGATTCTTTGTCCACTTGAAACATTCTCCTCACTGGGCGTGGGGTCAGTATAGGCATATGCTATTTTTCCAAGCAGATTCTTAATATCTTCAGTTGTTCTCAACTTCTTAATTATAGCCCTGATGGTGGAAACGGTCATTCTCAACTGTTTAGCTATTTTCTTGATTTGTGTAGTTGTGTGTTAAAACATAATGTATACATGCGAATACAGTTCAGTTAGATTTCACTCTTACGAATTTCTAGGGGTTCCAAAAATTGTGGCACACATACATTTAAGAAAAAATATTTATTTCATGACAAAATTTAGTTTTTTCTGTTGTTTCTTTCAATTATCATACCTTAATCAAAAGTTAGATTTTTGCTAATATTTTGAATGAAAGGTCAAAATGATACGTAATTAAGAATATTTTTAAAGCTCATTTTGCTCATGACTACTAAGGGTGCCAATATTTGTGGAGAGCACTGTATATACACCACACGCCCAAAAGTTTACATGCCCAGTGTCGTGAGCTAGAGGAGAATAAAGCCCCCCCGGATTGAGCTGTGGAGGAGCGGAACTGCATTCTCTGGATAGTTGGAGCTCCATCCAATACCTTTGGGATGAGCTGGAGTGATCCAGAACTCATCATCCAGCATCAGTACCTGACCTTACTAATGTTCTTAAGACTGAATGCAATCAAATCCTCACAGCATTGTCTTAGCATCTAGTGTAAAGCTTTCCCAGAACAGTAGAGGCTGTTACTGCAGTAAAGGGAGTGAAACTCTGAAACATTGGTTAAGTGGGTGTCTAAAATGCTGTAGAATTATATCATACTGTGCAGTTTCATTAGTACAGTGCGATGATGTTTTATATCATACTGTGCAGTGTTACAGTCTTAAGGGATGGGTAATTCAGTATATTATTTCATATTGTGCAGTGTCAGTAGCACAGCCTGGAAAATGCCACGTCATTTTGTGCAGTGTCTGCAGCGTATAAAAGGCAATGCTGTATTTTCTGTATGTTCTCCTGGACTCTAGTCCACGTACAGTGTTACTGATTCAATACAGGTTATGTAATTCTCTTACGTGATATACTCCTTGGTCCTTCTCATGATGTGCAGTGTTAGTGGGTTGATTCCAGTTGGAAGTTTCTCCTCTGCCTGGATCAGAGGGATTTCCTCACCAGTGTCCAGGTTCTTAATCATTACACTCGCCAAGATCTCCTGCATGGACACATACACAAATAGCAAGTATCATACTGTGCACCTCTGGCTTTCTTATAGACACAACCATGATGTCACACATTTGCACACAGGCATATACACAAACACATGACGATACCTCATCAGTGAGCTCTCGGCCTGAGTTAGAGCGTGGTCTCTGGGGTCCAGGAGTTTCACTACCACTGGGGCTGGACGCTTGCTCATCATTTTCCTGTACACATACATACAAACACCTCTCACTCACACTTATTCTGGTATATTTTTTGTTCGTCGAATCCAATGATACATTTGTTTCTGTTACAATTCTGAACTGAGCAACCCCTTCTGAGTCTAGCGAAAGCAACATGTTGAAATTCTGTTCATGGATATTGTGTAGGAGCTCCTCACTTGTGCAGTTACTACTTTCTCCCCACTGGTGGCGCTGGCAAGGTCCAGAGAATGCTGCAGCTCTTTAGCAAGGGACCTCACAGTAGAGTTTGGACTGACCAATCCGCATGGCTCTTCAACTGGTTCTGTAGAGACTAAGCAAATCACAGCACACATTGTTATTAATCAGTCATTAGCGCCCATGCAAAATGAGACATAATAGTAAAATAAAATTCCACAATGGAACCCAATAGTTAATGCACCAGAATGAACCACGATAAGTAGTGCATAATCAGGTCCCCAGCAGACATGGAGTACCCATAATGCATTTGGTTTTATAACCTACTTAACCAGACATGTCATGAAATGCAGCAGTTACAGTGAACTGATGGCACAACGTTTTGCATATATTTTAACTACCATTTGACTGCTCTCCAGTCTCAGGGTGATGAGCAAACCCATCTAACATTAACGCCCAAAATCTTTTACTTGACTCAAGAACTGTGTTCTCTACAACAGTGTTCTAAATAGTGATAATGTTCTAGGAAATACTGACTACGGGACCATTTTTGTTCCCTACACTCTTAATAAAAGGGTTCTTTAGTAAAGATAATGGTTCTATATAGAACCATAAACACCCAAAGAACCATGTGCATGCTTAAAGCGTTTTTTGCCTGGTGAAATCGTTCTTCGGATTGATGAAGAATGTGTTGTACATGGTTCTGTTTGAAAATGGTTATGCATAGCCCCAAAAGGGTTCTGCTGTGGTTACAAATTTGACATTGTAACAATAGCAGAACCCTTTTTGGTGGCATTTTCAAAAGGTTCTATATACAACACATATGTACAACACGTGTAACACATATGTAGAATAGTGTCCTATACAGTGACCTTGATTTTCTAACGTAGTGATTAGGGGACAATTTCTGTCCCCTGTAATAGTGTCATTTATAGTGCTTTAATGTAGGGAACAGTGATTAGAGACCATTCCTATTCCTTATAATAGTGCTCTATACAGTGCTCCTGATTTTTCTAATGTAGGGAACAGTGATTAGGGAGGAGTTCAGTATAGTGCTCCAGTGTGGAGAATTGTGATTAGAGGACCATTTCCTTTCCCAATAATATTGTTCTATATAGCATTCCAATTTATGGAATAGTGATTCCTTTTTGATTCCTTATAACAGTGCTCTACGTAGTCCTCCATAGTAGGGAATACTGATCTGGGAACCATTTCTGTTCCCCACTATAGTGTTTTAATGTGGGGAACAGTGATTGGGGGACATTTCTGTTCCCTATGATAGTGTTCTATATAGTGCACCAATATATGGAATAGTGATTAAGGGGCCAACTATAACAGTGTTCTAAATAGCGCCGATGTTTTGATGTTTTTACACCATTTGAAAATACCAGCAGCACTTTAGGTTCTCTGAATGTTTAATGGACCAATAAAAATAATAAAAAAAATGTAGGAATAAAATTTTGTTTTGTATACTACAGTTATGGCTGCGAGAGGCTGCGGATACACCTTTTGTTATAACAAAAATGATACAGTGCGCAAACAAGATTAACCTCTTACCTTCTAGCCCCGTAGGCCGCATCACTTCCTGAGACGTTTTACTGGGTGGGAGCGCTGGCCGAGCTGGGGGTGGCGGCCTGGGGGGAGGGGCTCCACTGGGAGGGGGCGGCCTAGAGGGCGGAGTTTTCTTTGTGCTAGCAACAATATCTGGCTCCACTGTAAACTGCCTGGGAGGTTTAGAGGGACCGGATGCGTCAGACTCTGCCGTTTTGTCTGTGAGGGGCACTTGTTCTAAGATGTCGGCAGTTTTGGCTGTATCTGTGCTTTCCGTAGCACAGGCTGCGGGGCTGAGAGCGGGTTGTGGTGGAGATGGCCCCAGAGCGCTCGTGATGTCTGGAGGAGGAGGAGATCGATTTAGTTGCTGAGACGCCTGGGCTCCGCCTGCCACATCTGGAGCCACTTCCTGCGCGTCCTGTGACCTCACTTCATGTGGCCTGACGTCAGGCTGTTGTTGTTGCGGTTCTGCAACCGAGTCCGCAGGAGGAGCCTCAGAAGCTGCCGAAGGTTCCAGAACTTGAGCTTGATCTTGTTCTAGAGCACTGTGGTCTGTTCCAGAACTCCTGTCCTCTACAGAAGGAGCGGAGCATCTCTCGTCTCCTCTCAGCAACTCCTCTTCCACACCACTCTCCTTCTGACTCTCCTCTATAATACTGTCAATGATCTAGACAGAAGGAGGTACAGAAAAAAACGAGAGATTAACTTACAAAGCTCAAAATGGTGCTGTAATTAATAATAATCTGTCCCAGGGTGTAGGTCATACAGCCCAGTCTGGAAAAGCTAGAAGTTCCAGCTCAAAACATATAAACTTGTTGGTTAATTGCCAGGTTTACTAGGAACACTGAAGAAACAGTTCAGCAAAAAAAAATCTCAATCCAACTTTCCCTTTACATTTAATATAGTCAATTAGTCTAAATGTGTTTAGTATCAGAACCTTTGTTTTTGTTTTGCACTGGACTGCTGAGGATAAAGTAGCTAAAGAGTAATGGAAGCTTATACTTCATAGCCAAAACAGTAGCAGCAGCTGTCCATATTTTTGTCTTCTATATGGATAACCATAGTAATGAGCAGTACAGCCAAAAGGTTATATCACAATATCATTAAGACTTCTGACAGTTTCGGTATATACAAACGTATTTAAGTGCATTTTTTCAAATAAAACAATTCTGGATGCTTAAGTAAACCTAAGTTTGCAGACTAACAACGGTGTAATATTCCAGGATGTCACGTCTTATTAAAAGTATCATATTTAACAACTGAAGTAAGTCTACAGTCATTTTATTGAGTAAATCAGTAAAAACCTGAATTGAACAATAAACAGACAGATGTCAGTATTGCTTTCTAACTCTACTGAGACAACTGCAAGTGCATGTAAAGAACACAAGGTCTTCTCTCAGCAAGGGAAAAAACTCCTAAACACTGCTAAATGTTATTTTACAATCGAATTTCTGAAGGCATTTGTCAAAATACACTCAAGCTTTCATCTACAACTGTCAGATGCTGCTGGAATTTGGTAAATATTACAAGTCATTCACACTATCTCTATCAACTGAGTAGCTGCAGAGCCTCTCGGACTGTAGAACCAGGCTTGAGACCGTGGCATTGCCTGTAGGACATGGCCGAGCGAGGGACGCTATAATGGTGCACATAGAAGCCGGCTAGCCTCCACACTAAAGGCTAACGCCTTTCTTTCCAGTCTTTTTCCCTTTTAACTCATTACATTGTGATGTCTGCTCCTTACAATAAACTGGACTCACGTACCTTGCGTAATGTACGTAGCATTATCTGCGTTTACTTGTAGTATACCGGTATAATGGTATTGACAAAATTCATACCTTAAGAAGAATTGCAACCGGTGCATCGGATGAATTGGTACATTGTCGACTACCATATAACAGTAGGCAATACAGCCTCACATCAACAAGTGTGTTTGAAATTACTTTAGACTGTGCAAGCTTCCATTTCTACTTAGTTGCATTAGCTTTAAAAAAAACATTAATTGAATTTCAGACACTAAACATGTCTTTGCTAATCTACATTTAGAGGTAACAGGGAAAACTGTGCAATTTTCATTTTAATTCCTTCCAGTCCTCCAGGATCGCAGTTGTGCAGCTCCTATGTAGGTTAAGTGGAGAACAGTGGAGCAGTGGAGATCTGTGTTATGACATGACATTAGTAATGTGAGTAAAGAGAAGGCCACACTGATGGTATGTGAGATCTCCACCATAGAAACAATGGGATCTCATGTTCCTCAGCTGTGCCTGCAGGCAGCTCAGAACACACAGACACTGATCGAACAAGTCTGGAACTTGTCCAACACACAAACATACAAGCAAGAATAAGAGTGAGTAAGGGTGGGCTTCTCTTTCTTTTTCCTTCTCTCACAAGCACACACATGCAGTTTGTTTTCATACCTTACCAGGACATTGGTTTGTGCATGCCCCATATACATGTAGCCTAAGTGCTTTATGTATGTAAAAGTACCTTATGAGTATCTTTATGTAATGAAAACACATCACTTATGTTTTTATTATTTATATATATATATATATATATATATATATATATATATATATATATATATATATATGTGTGTGTGTGTGTATACGTGTGTGTTGATCAATCTATATAGAGTCTATATATAAAAATAATAATAATAATAATAATAATAATAATATCATTTCTTCTGTATTTCATTTATATACATACCCCAATATTTATTTTTCCACACTAGAGCACAGCTGTTACCTTTAAATTGTGTAAAGATTTCATGATGAATGGCCTGACAGAAATGCTCCAAAACTAATTGGAATAAAATCTCTTTAATTTATATTAAATGCAAAAAACATTTTTGCTATTTCGCAGATTCTTGTTTTTTGGACCGTGACTATATGGAAGTATCTATATGTATTAATATATATTAATATGACTATATGTCATATCAGTATGATAATGTGCATTTCTGCTAGTGACCCTGGTATTTTCACCATGGCAGATTAGCGCCAAGCTAGCAGGCTTAGCTTGGTGTAATACTGGATTTTAATATCAGCTCTAGTTTAAATACAGGCATGGCCAGAGAACCAACAGAGGGTGCTTAGCAGCCCACTTGTTGTTGAGAAACCCTTCTTTATACCACAGCTGTTAGCCAGATACCCCCAACGAAAATTCTCATCATTTATATGAACTGACCCTTCGCTATAGATACAGAGCAGTGCACACATAAAATATGATGTTAAATACTTCCATTTGGTACATTTTGCTGTCGTTGCTCAAGTGCCGCTCTAGGTGATGGTCTAGTTTGGCTAAATGGACACACCAGCCCTGACTGCCTATATATTAGATACAACAGGTCAACACTTCCAACTTTACATAGACATATGAGACATATGAGACATATGCATATGGATAGAGACAGAGAGAGGTGATAAACACACCAACCTGCAGAGAGTCATCTTGGCGAGGCTCTGGTGGCGCCAATCCAGCAGCTACTTCCTGTAGCAGGTTCTCATCTGGGGCCTACAGCCAATCAGAAGGCAGAGATAGATCAGACACTGAGTATTAAGAATCACCAGGCTGTGCTAAAACAATCTCACGGGTTAAAATGTACATGTATAGGGAGCACCATACTAAAGCTCAGGACTGGGTGTGTTGATAAAACTAGCAAACACTAAACTAATCTTTAATAAATACTTGTTCTGGCCACAGTTTCATCAACAGACACTGGAATTCTTTGCTATAACTCTCATAGGTTTTAGAAATGTGCTTGAGGAGGAATGATGAACTCTTCCCCCACTATATAACTACATCAACAAAACACTAAACAAGAACTTGCTTATCTCTGTATAGCTCTAAAATCCTGACATGGCGACTCTAGAATCTGAACCGTTCTCTTCCTGTTTTACAGCGGCCCAAGGACTCAAAGTAATTATTAACTTAAAGTAGCACGTGAGCAGCACCTCTTCTCTCTGCTGATTCAGCCCTCACAAAAACAGGCCTTTATAAAAGCCATATCCTTTAATCCCTAGCATTGCTCTGCAACTGAGATGGTTATTCTGCCATTACTGAAGTACTACGGATCCTAAAGTAAATACATTTCAGGAAATGGTTTAAAACTGAAAACTTCATCTTATGAGATCAGATCAGTTCAGGTCAAATCAATCTCACCTGAGGCTGGGGAAGAACAAACTTCGCGGGTGACCTGGAGAGACACAAATCAGAGGAGGAAAAAAAGAGCACGTCATTAAGTCTAGGTTACAGCACACATTACTCAGACATCCTTAAAGAACTTCCTTTCTCAGAAATGCGAAGAGATGAGGATGCAAAACCTGACCTTATAACAACCTGATGATCAGTATCACCCCATCATTAAATAGGCACACCTGGCCAAACTCACGTGCGCCCGGCTTGGATGAGATAAAGACATGAGGATGTAATTGGAAGGCTGTAACATAACATTTGCTTCCTGTTGTTCAAACATTATGTGGTGTGTGCTCAAGATTTGGCCAAAATTCTCAATTTATTTTCAAATGGAAATATGCACTGAATTTAGATCCCAGGCCAAGCAAAGGTCCACTCACTGATAAAAAAGTGTGATATGGCAGAGGAGCAGTGCCTAGCAGGCTTTTGCAGGAAGAGCAGCGGAACCTAGCTCGTCTTGCTTTAATCACAGTGGGCTTTAATCACGGAAACAAAGACTTTCAGCAAACTGAAATATTACTTTGGGGGTGGTTTTATTGATATTATATGGTGTTGCACCCCTGAACAGGTGATGATAAAAGACGTGAAACTCAAATGTGATGTTTTATCTTTGTCGTTTTCTCACAACAAACTAGCGAGAGCTCCCCCTACTGGATGTCTGCAGAAACTTCATAGAGAAATTTAATAGTCAAAAGCAAATCTATCTGGGTTTCTTACAGACTTTACAGTGTGAACAGTTAGCATTTAGTGTTTGTTTAAAGAACTATTAACACTATTCTTGTGCACATCTATAGAAATACATGCAAATTATTCTTTGGTCCAGTAAAAACCGTAAAGCATTCAGTCGCACATGAATTCTTCTGATGTAAATTAATAGACTATAAATTAACTGCTAATCATTCACAACTGTACTTCTTTTGTGATAAATGCGTAGAGAACGTAAAACCCAGTCTATTTACATAGTGACAACACTGCTCTACCTGGCCCGAAAAAAGAAATGTAGATTTTTTTTTTTTAAGAAATGATTATTATGAGCACTACAAAACATACAGCTACTCTGGTAAATGATGCTTTTCAATGAATCCTTCCATCTAACTAACTAATTAACATGTTTAAAACCAGTTATTTGAGCTAAAGAGGTTTGTGTTTACTGAGCTAATCCAGAGCCAAAAGCTCTTTGTTATCTCTACATGTGATAAAGCAGCCTGCAGACAGCTAGTGTGACAGGAAACAGTGCAGCTGTAAGGAAGAATGCCTCCGTCCTCAGAACACCACTGCCTTCAGTAAGGCCACTGCCGGTTACTGTTATGGCTAATAATACTTCATTACATTAATCACAACAATATCAATAAACAGAACAGCCTGATGTGAAAGGGGAGCATTCAAAAGAAATATCAGACGCTGAAAACTAACGTCCGACGGGTGAATCGGTCAGCCGATAATACCGGTCGAAACTGATGACCAGTATCAGCAAAAATATCTCCAATAACTTTTTAGATCACAGAGGTTTGAGGAATTCAAACTATATATGACAGTGATGTATGTGATATAAGTGGTAAAGCTGACCACTAAACATCATCATGGTTAACATATTAACAATAACATGTTAAATGTATCCAAACAAAATCTTTTTGCATGTTTTATGAAGATAAGCACTGAAAAAAAAATATATATAAAAAATAAAAATAAAAAAAACAAAGCCACAGAGGTTTATGGGTAATTCACCAAGTGCTACAGTATTCATATAATTCAAGACTGTGAGTTTGTCCCTGCTCAAAAATAATACTGTACAATAAACACAAATAATTCTATTACAAATAGAAATTAAATTATGCCACTTTTTTCTGACACTGATATTGAATATATTAGCCAGCACTGGCCTAATTTTTCAAATAAGCTTTGAAATGACCAATTCTTTTAGGGACACTTCAGTTACGATGAGAATCTAGAAGTAGTCCATCATGCTCATATGCTCACAGTCATATGCAAATGTTCGACCGCCCCGGTCAGATTACGTTTGGTTTACTTTCTAATTAAAACTAAAAAAAGTATGTTTACATGACCTCTACAGAGAACAAACGTATACAGATACCTGGTATTAGATGCGTTCCATCTCTAATTATACTATTATTCACACTACTAATTTAAAACGTTCATATTATTTAATACTGATCCATCACACATTCCTCTAGAATTGAAATATCTCACAGCATTAAATATAAATACAGTGCAATTAACAACATTAACGCTTCCCTTACACTGGAAATCTAAACTTTACAGCATTAAGTATATAATGTCTAGTGTCTGAGCCTTTATTGGCTTCATTACATCACACCAACAAACACACCCCTTAAAAAAACACTGCAGCTGATTAAAAAAGAACAAAGGCTAAAGAGGCTAAACACTTCAAAACATTTACCCACAACACCACACCACACCTCTAAACACACATGTGGAGGTCATGCAGCACTTGTTTATTGCAGGCCACCCCCCCCCCTCCTTCATACACAAACATAGGCCCTTTGACCCCAAGCACACTGTGAAAACAAAACTCTGTTAAGAAGTCAACTTTCAAAACCAGATGAATAAACCCTGCAGAAAACCAACCTCAGTCTCAGTTTACTTGAAAGAGAATTTCAAAAAATCTGTATAACTACATTATTATGATGTAAACCAACCATTCGAAGTGGTTTGTTGCAAAAAGCTCAAAGTCAGAATTGTTTACATCGGTGGTGATACGAACCCCTAAAATCTCCCTCATCAAACGTTATTAACGAAATGGTAACAAATACGCTGCCTGATGCTTGAGACATCATTGTCTGACAGTTTTGAGAAGCATTTGACTAAAATGCATTTGCAAATACATTCTTGGTGAAGAGATACATTTTTTTCAGATTTACCTCTATTTTAAAACCATGAACATTACATATAAAAACTCAAGACACGTGTAGGTGCACAGGTTGTTTTGGACAGTAAATAAAAAAGACCATATTTGTGCTGCAGACATTGTGACCCAGGGTTCCTGTCACCACCACTGTAAAGAAATCAGAGTCAGTAAACTGCACCGTTTGACTCAGAATAATTTTATTCACATCTCAACGATTTAATTATGCAGATTGCTTTAAAAAATTGGTGGAATTCTACTTAAACCCAAAACACAAGCAAAGCATGCTGTCAAATAATGATTTGCACCCCTAGAGACTTAGACATGCCCAGAGTGACCAGGCCTTTTAATCTGATAATAGCTCACATGATTATGACTCAAGCACTACTTGGCCCGTCAAGACGTCAGCGCAATCCTTCAGCAATGTCAGAGCGAGAAGCGCAACTCTAGGCCTTTGAGTCAAAATAGGGAAAAGAACAGAGAGGGATTTTTTGGAAGAGAAAGGCATGTCCTACATGAGCCAACATGACCAAAAAAATATGACAACTTATTTCAGAAACAAACGTTTCTTTGGCTTTTGTTTTAATGAATAAAAAAATAAGATAAATCTGATAAACATATGTGATTAAAACAACTCTGACATTTGAGATGCATGCTGATATGAATATTACACCAGCAGATAATTGTTTTAAAAAATGTATTGGCACTGGGTTGAGGCTGGGTTGATCGTTTTCTGTGTTCTGGAAGAGCACAACACTCTGTTGAACTACAACATCTGCAATTTATTCATTTCACTGCATTTGAAACTCTTTACTTTACAAATAATACATTTCTCATAACAGATCTTGCCCAAACATGTTTATGTATGGACTTCAGCATCTGCATCAATCACAGTGCATCCCTATTAGGTGTGTTATCGTCCAACTTTTGACAAGGAAGAACATTCAACTTGCAAGCCCTGACAACAGCTTATGAACGTGTACTATCGGTATGTGTACCACCACCCACAGCCCCAAGCACAAGGATTTCAGAGTGACAGGCCTGATATGAGAAACAATAACCAGATAGGAGCCACATCTGGATTAGTAATCTAGATTTAATAAAACAGTGTATCAAAACAACTGTATCGCTGATACGCCCATCTGTCTTTTCCAATGGCCTCTCACACAGATGCCCAAACTTTTGTCTTGGGGGGGGGCAAAGTGAGACGTCTGTGGTGGACCGAGGGCCAAATAACAAATCAATAAACAAATAATGAATGTAGGTGGGTATTTTATAAGGCTGCACTACATTTTGTCACTAATGTACAAGTTTAAAATGAAATTAATATTTAAATATTTTGCACACAGAACATGAATATTTTTGTTCTCTCACTGGGTGAAGGGGTGGGGCTGGGATAACTTTCTAACTGGGTCAAATCAAACATCCTCATGGGCCAGTTTTGTCACTTTGGCCAGAACTGTCTTTCGTGTAAAAAGATAAAAACTGAACGTCTTGATTCATCCAATCAGAGCCAAGTGTGCAGGGGCGGGGCTAATGGCATAAACACACCTACGCCCAAAGGAGTACGTTTTTTCTGAAGTTGCTCATAAATTCTAGGAGTTGTGGTTAATTTTGTTTGTTTGAGAACAGCTGAATCAGTGAATACGGATATTTAATAGATCGAACCGAATCTCGACCTCAGAACTGAAAATCATATCAAACCTTAGCTACCATATTCGTATCGTCACACCCTTAATCAGGCAGTTACAACACAACAGAGAGACGATTAGGGTCGAGCTCTTTAACCAAACGGATTTTAGGTGATTCTGAATGAAAGTACTCACACATGAGGCGAGGGGGTGAAGTTGACATCTTCTGGGGCATCAAAAAACTCCTCTGTGTCACTCGTATCCGACGCCATTTAGAGCTGGGCTAGCCAGGTGGCTACATGCAAAGACCAAGACTGGAAAGGTAAAGTCTCTGCTCAGTTTTGCAACTGAGAAGAAAATTAACTATATTGGGATTTTTCCCCAACAGACAGTTCCCGCTGTGACAAATGACAAGTTTGGACTCGCCCTCCGTTTTCTGTAGCTCGCTGTAGCGGCTAGCTGACGTTAGCCGAAAGCTAACAGCAAACACCAACAAGACAGCAGCTGGACTCGCTGACAACCAAGCCGAATTTCCTAATGCCTGGTTTGTAAAGCTTGATCAGCCTCGAAGGGGACACGTCCACGGCCGAAACAGCAGCTGTCGCTCCCCTTAGCGAGACACTGTCAGGATTTGTGGCCCAAAAACACGGAGCATAAAGCAGGAGGAGAAGGAAGAGGAGCGTCAACTGATTCTTCTCTCACGACCGCCGAAGTCTCGCGCTGAACTCTCGCGAGATTGTAGTCTAGACTTTTGACAGCTGATCTGAAATCAGCTGTGAGCTTTCAGGCAGTTCAGTGATTTTAAACCAGTTGGCAGATCTCGAGTCAGTAACACAGATAAAGTGCACTGGGCGTGATAGATCGATAGATAGATAGATAGATAGATAGATAGATAGATAGATAGATAGATGTGTTCTTTAGTAAAGAAAATTGTTCTCTATAAAACTATGAACATTCATAGAACCATTCATACTTCTATTGTAACAAACCTGACATCGTAACAATAGCAGAACCCTTTTTGGTGCTATACAGAACCATTCTCCATTAATCTGAAGTCCCCTTTCATGATGCAAAGAACCCTTAATCATGCAAAGGGTTCTCTGAGTGTTCATGGTTCTATGTAGAACCATTTCTTTATTAGCGAACCCTTGAAGAACCATCATTTTTAAGTATAGATAGATAGACAGATAGATAGATAGATAGATAGATAGACAGACAGACAGACAGACAGATAGATAGATAGATAGATAGATAGATAGATAGATAGATAGATAGGTAGACAGACAGTGGTGGGCAGAGCTCAAATAACAGGAAAACGTTTGTGAAATTGTTCTTTGACCAAAATAAAAGTACCTACATTCTAAATAAAGATGGTTCTGCAAGGGTTCTTTAGTGCAGGGAATGGTTCTATTCACATTTCACCATGCAATGAACCTTTTAAGCATGAAATGGTTCTTTAGAGAACTCATGGTTCTAAACAGAACCATTCCCTTTACTAAAGAACCCTTGAAGAACCATACATAGTAGTATGTAGTACATAGTAAAAGTACCTAAAAGTACTAATTGCTAATGTTTCAAAACAAACTCTGCACTCCACACTCTGTGCAGTCCATCTATGGAAACTATTCAGCCAACAGCTGTTTAGCCCCACCCTCTCATGCTGAAATTACAAGGAATATTTCAGCCTCGACTGTTTTCTGAAGAATGAAGCACAACACAGAGGCTGTTACTCCAGCAAAGGGGACAAGCTCCCTAACAATACCTTTGATTTCAGAGGAAATGTTGGGCAGATGGTGGAATAGCACATACTCCCATATCTGTAGAGCTCAGAGCAATCCAGTTATTCCGATTCTGCTTCATGCTGCTGTAGAAATCTGTCATGCATCAGCACTGTTAAAAAAAAAAGACCTCACCAAATCAAGTGCACTTGTCCTGATTGCAGGGTTCCCACGCTTGCTTTGTGACAGGGTGCACTGTTTAATTGAATGTGTATGAGCTACCAGGACTACACTTATCTGAAATTTGACTGAAATAAAGTGCAGTTATGTAAAATGATGATTCCACTGACAAAGACAAATCCAGTGTAATGTACAACATGCTTTAAGGTGAGAAGTATTTTAGTCTTATATAGTCTTATGATCTTGAATGCATTTTACTAACATGAGAATTTTAAATTATGTACTATCCTAGTTTACACACAGCTAGTACTGTAAATTCCATTTTCCATAATATTATACTAAACATATATACTACTAGTATTATAGCTGTATGCAAAAGCTAGGCCGTCCATATTCAAATGACATGTTGTTGATTTTATAAGTGAAACACAGTTCATCCTCTACAGAGAACACACTTCTGCACATTTTAAAGCACAGTTACTGCTTATTTGTCCTATGCAAGAAATGGTGCATTCAATATTTAATGTTTTTATTTTTCTAAGCAAACAAATGGACATTGTGCACGATAGAAATGTGCAGAAAATGGCATATTTAAGTTTGTTCCCATATAAGATGTGTGATCTTTTTTCCACCTAAAACAACAAAACATGTAATGTGAACAGCGGGTGCCTTTTGCACGCGACTATATATGCGTTATTACTTGGCCTTGTATGCATCGCTATTAGTCCTACGCAGTGGTCCCGCTATTATGTGCATTATTAATAGCGTTGCTTTTATTATTATGCATTATTCATGTTAATATATGTGTTACTACTCGGCGCTTGTTGAATCGACCAATCACCGCGTCCCATCGCGGCTGCGCAACGAACTTCTTTTGGCAACGGAAGTTTTGAGCGTCTGCCTTTGATTGGCAGCCGCGCTGACCAATCAGCAGCGTGCGCAGCGCAACTCCCTTGCGGCGGCCGCCAATGAAAAAACGGCAGGGGCGGGACCCGGCGAGGTTCATAAGTGGAGTGGATTTGCGGGTTGAAGAAGAAAACGAGAAGGGCAAACCCGTCGCGAGAGGTAAACGACCGAATATTTAAAAGTTTATTTGCGCGGTGTGAAGGGTGACAGACGCTCAGTGGACCACTCACCGGCCTACATGTAGTCAGAGCTGAAAGTGCACTGAGCTGAAGCCGCTGTGTGGCTAAAGGCAGAGAGAAACGCAGCCATGCTTCTCGGTTAGCCCTTTTCTCCCAATTCTCCTGGCTGATAAAGTTAATGCCGTTTTGTGTCGCGGCTGTTTTAGTTCGAGAGATGAATAAGACGCTTGTCGCTTGTCGTGTTCACTGCCTTTCGTCCCCATAACGGCTCGTGTTGTCCTGTGTTTGGTCGCCCTGCTAAAGCTAGCTTGCTAACTTTGAGAAGTTCCGAATAAACATGAGCAGACATGTCGCTGAGAGGGCGAGTGAGTCCGAAAAAACGGGTTTACAGTGACTACTTTAACGTTTTAAATGAGCTAGACTGTCCTTTTGGTGTTATGCCCAACACTTCACGACTAAACGAAGTGTTTGCTTGTTGAAAAGTACAGCTAGACTGTGTGGAAGTGGCTTAGAGTAACGTTAACGCTTCACTATTCCAGGTTGTCGGTGTGGATGCTGTGTAGTAAGTTAAGGTTCTTTAGTAAAGGCAATGAGTTCCATATGGATCCATTTCACGCTTAAATGATTCTCTGCATGGTGTAAAGGTTCTTCAGATTGATGGAGAATGTGTTGTGAATGGTTCTACATAGACGCTTTTTGAAAATGGCTCTATATAAAGGGTTCTTCTGTTGTATACAAGCTTGATATCATAACAACTTTGATGCTGTAGAGAATCATTTTCCTAAAAGGTTCTATATAGAACCATATACAACACATTTCACCAAGCAAAGACATACTTAAGCATGAAATGGTTCTGTGTAGAACTCATGGTTCTAAATAGAACTGTTGCCTTTACCAGTGAATCCTTGAAGAACCATCTTTTTTAAGTAGGTGGTAATAGGTGGGTGCTGGGCGCTGCCCAAATCTCTAACTTGGTTTCTTAGGGCTGCTTGTCCTCAATGACTTTTTGCCCATTATATTGAAGCTGTATGAGTCACCCAGCTTGAGGTGCACCAATTATTTGGCTCATTGGGCAACGACAGTTTGTCACTCTATAAAAAAACATCAGAAATGTCAATAGAGAAAAGAAGAACTGTGACAAGCACGGTTTGACCCAGAAAGTCAAGTGCATTAGGCTGACATCTTTTTATTGACTTGTCTTCATGGCCTGTCTGTTGGGTTATTGCTCATCCCCTGGCCTGCTGTGACCGCCTTTGTTGGGTTGCTGGAATTGAGCAAGTCATGTGCTTGTTGAGCCATACAAATGGGAACAACAAGTAAGCTTTAATCCTAAGTACGTACAGTCTTTTTGTGAGGGTTACCAGCAGCTTGGACTTGGAACTTGGGTTTAGGCTGGGTGCTGCCCAAATATCTAACTTCATTCACTACAGCTGTTTGGCTACATTCACTTTCTCTTGACGCTGAGTCTATAGCCCTGTTCACATCTGGCGTTTGCACCTGTCTTGAGTGATCTGACCTGGACAGCCGAGACGTATATCTGTTTACATTTGCCATTTCCGTCTCGGATGTTGTGATCAGATTTTGAGGCTAGTTTCATTGCTGGTCCAGCCGCAGGGATTGATATGCTGTACTATGTGGACTTAACTACTGTTCAGTTTCCGATCTTGCCAAGTTTGCATATTTTGCCAGTGACACAGTTGATTAGGTGACCTTCCGATGTTGTCTGGGACGCATGTGGGTGCTTTAGCATGCCTCCGAAGATGGTTTGGGAGATCGGATCTCCAGGACGCACTGGACTCTTGTGCTTAGTGCTGTCCAGTTGTGATATCAGATGTTAAGGCCAAGTTGAAACGGGGTCTATATGAGTCTTCCAGTTGTGTTATAGATAACCAGCAGTGAAGGGCAGAAAAGCTCCAATGTTAGACCTTACTAATACTCCAAAATAGCACTGTAAATGTAGTAAATATTGCATATCGCTGTTGTCGGAAGAAAACCTCATATCTCCAAAATGAGAACTTTACAGGAGAAGGAAAAACCATACTTTGCTTTTAATGTAAGTCAATGGAACCAGACATTTTTTCAAGTCATTTTGGGTCATTTCTTTCAGTCCATTCAACAGGTATTTTCAAATGATGTCAAAAACTGAAAGTGCTATAACTGTTTTAACCTACCACATTCATAGGATGGGTAACAGTTAAAATGCTGTTTCGACTCTGTTCGCATATAACATGCCCTTGAATATCAGTCAGTGAGGACAAAGATTGGCACTAAAGCTGCTGTGGAGACGCACCGGTTATTTGCCTCGTCGGGCCTGTTTTTCACTCCATAAAAGAACAAAAGATGTTGTTGAAACAAGGAAAAACTGCAACAAATTGATTTGTTGCAGTGTTTTACAGTCCTTGTGCCAGTGCTGAATGTTCCCTTGTAAGTGTAACCAACAGCTGCGAGACTTGGGCTGTTTTAGTCTGAGGAATACATTGTTTATGCCTGTATGGGAGCTTTTTGAATGGTGCGCTTACTGATTTTATTGATGTTCCATAGTTTAAAACCCAATGATAATCATTTCAAATTGTAATAACCATCTATGTTGAATTTCTTGGCTATTGAAATATGAGAAGTTAAATAAAACATATAGGGACTTGTGGTGAAATGATTTCAAGGTGTATTAGTGCTTTTTCAACACAGTATATTTGAAGAACACCACAATAATATTCAAAATTGTGATAACTCTTGTCGCTGATATTA